GGTGCTTAGGAAGCGCCTCGTTCTTAGGGCCTTCCTGGAATAATTGCTCGTATTCCTTGTACTCCACCGGTATACTCATCGGTGAGGATGCCTGGGCTAGGTCATCGAGCTCGGAGGTTGCACATAACTCCTTCCGGCCCTGAGAGGGTTTCTCCCGTTGTCGCGTGTCCGTCCGTTGTTCACACGCGCACTGGCTCATCACAACTTTCTCGTTCCACCAGTCGATCTGGGGGTTGTGTTTCTTGAGCCATGGCACACCAAGGATGCACGCATGGTTGTCCATGTGCACGATGTCAAACTGAATCGTTTCCTTGTGCCCGTGTAGCATGACCATTTCCAATGGGACCGTTTCGTGGGTCACCATTCCTTCATTAGTCGAGATGGGCTCTCCATCTACGACCATTAATGGGTATGGTTCGGCTTTCATTGTTGTTTTGAAGCCTTGCGTGTCTGCTACTTTCTTTGTCATAAAGTTGCCCGTCGCTCCTGAGTCAATCATTGCTCGGAGGTGTCGCTGTTGTATCTTAGCGACCACATATAGTTGCATGCTGCCCGTCGTGGCGCATAGCTGGTCTGTACTAGGCCTCTTCGTGTCGCTCGCCGGTGGCCTACCGTCGAGGACTCCTAGTTTTTTGACTCGTCCGAGGAAGGATAGTATTCATCCGCTTCCAATGGTGGTCCTTGGGGAGATCGTTTCCCTCGCTCTTCTGCTTTGTCTAGCAGATGTGGGTATTTCTCGTATACCTGTTCGCTTTTGATAGGCAAGTCCCCTTCAGACTGGCTTCGCCTGAGGGCGTGAACTTGCTCTGCGTCTCTGAAGTGTATCCTGGGCGAGGATCGGGGAAACAACTGATTCTGGTGTTTCTTTTTCCAGTGGAGCTTGCAATCATCTTCGCTGCAATACTCCCAGTAGACATACGCGTGCCAGGGATGATCAGTCTCTGTTGCGTCTGTCGTTGATAGTTCCCGCTGTCCTCTCACCCATGCACTATCTTCCCTCGGAGGCGTGGAGAACGTGTCTAGTTGCTCCATGGCTCTCCTTTCGATGCGTGGAGTGGGTCTCGAATTTTCCCGTCGGAGCATATCTCTGGCTTTCTCGTCGTACTTCTTCAGGGCTCTCCTGCGGTCCTGGTAGTAAAGTTTGACGCTTTTCATATACTTCAGTTTAGCCATATGCTCGACATCCTTCTCCAGTTCTTCCGCTTCTTGGGCTTCCAACTTAGCTACGTCTTGGGACGTGCCAAGCAGCCTGCGGGTATTCGTTAGTTGGTCGTAGTATCTCCAGAGGTCATCCTTGCAGTCGTCCACCTTGCACTTTAATGGAAGTTCCTGTAACAGGTTCCCGTAGAGGTCTTTAAGCATGGGGATTTTCCTCTGGCCATTGGGCTTGTCTCGTTCGGCCCTAATCTTCGCGTGGGCGTGTTTTGCCATGCGTCTTACTACGTTCTTGCACCGTGGACTCATTGGTTCCGTAGGTGCGAGTTCATCGAAGGTCTCCTGTTCCGAGACGGTGAACGGTTCCGCCTCCGACCCTTCATCTGAGCTCTCGTCTTCTGGGGTGCTTTCGCCGTTTATTCCCCAGTCCTGTTTGCTCACAAACGTTGCGTTCAACTGTCCTGTCCAGGTGGCATTGAGTTGTTTGCCGACTTTGCGTCCGCCGTTCCCTTTCTTTGGCTGTCTGCAGTCTCGGGCCATGTGGCCTGGCTTGTCGCAGTTAAAACAGAGTCGTTCCTTGAATTGTCTGTCTTTCTTAGGGTCACGGGGTCGTCCAGGTTTGAACGTGGCATCGAGTTCCATTGGGTCCGACCAACGGTTGTCTCGCGGGTGTTGATCCCGTCGTCTGCCCTCGTTTCCCCGGTAGGGGTAACTTTTCTTGGGCTTGTCATAGGTCCGACGTTCCTTCTGGAATTCGTATAGTCGATTGTCGATTCGGACCGTATGTTCGATTAGCGCTACCATGTCCGTTGGTTGTTGTTCCAAACGGGCAAGTTCCATACGTATATGGCTCTTCAGCCCACGTCGGTAGTGGCTGATGAGTGCGCTGGCGTCCCATCCTGTCTGATTGTCGTATCTCTGGAATTCTGTGGAGTACGTGAGGGCGCTGCCAGTCTGCTTAAGTGCAAACAGATGGTCTTCCGCGGTCTTGATCTCATCGATGTCTCCGAACATGCGTCGGATTTCCTTACAGAATCCTTTCCAGCTGCCAAACATAGTCTGCGTAGTTGTCATGCTTCCATTGGTACTTTCATATTTGAAATAGTCCTTGAGGAATGGTTCGATCCATCGCAGGGCTTCCCCCCTAAGGTAGGACGCAGTCCACAGGGCATAGCTCTCCTGGGTGGGAAACTTCTCGTCATTGAAGTGCTGGTACAGTTCGACCTGTAGCAAAAACACCTCAAGTTCCTTTCGGTTGCCGGAGTAAGTGTCGGGCAACTTGACGCGTAGAGTTTCCTTGAGTTCGTTGACGGTGGGTGCATCGGGCATTTCTTCATTCTCAGGCTTAGACCTCTGAGACGAAGTTGGCGTGGTGGGGGTTTTCCCCTTCGAACTGACGACAGACATGTTGCTTTGTGTGTAAGCCGGTACCTCGTAGAAGTGGTGCTCAAAGTGTAACGCTGACTTCTGAACGATAGAAGACACAGAGGTTCTCTTGCATAAAGGTTTACTTATCAGAGGAGGCAGGGGATCAGACACAAAGGCTTCAAGTAACACGTTACTAGTATATAACAAATACTGTATTGAGTTGAGCACGAAGCTCCTATCTAAGGAAATACTATCTACTTATATAGTGGCGTCGTGCCTAGTGGACTCTTGGGAACTCACTCGAGTCCTCGGAGTCCTGGACTCTTAGGACTCTTCTCATCATCCTGCGAGTCCGTCACGTGATACTTTCAGAACTACTATTCCCCGCTGCCCCTCCAGGTACCAGGGCCGGTCTCATGCGACCTCCCTCCTTCCTGTCCTGTAGTTGGCCAGCCTTCTTGTTCCGTCGTAACAAGGGGGCGAAGACTGTGATAACGTCGCAGTTCTTTCTGAGAACCGTTATGTCTGCATCCTCCTCCACATCAAAGACGCTTCCGTTTCGGCCTCCTTCATGCCCTTTGTGTTACGATGGTCATAGAGTTCATGATGCCAGTACAGGAAAAGTAATCTAGATTGAATCTAAAGAGAGAAGAAGAAGAAGAAGGAAGGAAGGAAGGTGAGGCTATTCCTCATAACATACAGTTGTCTGCTTAGCGGTTGTAACCTTGGTGGCTAAGGCTACACCCGTAATCCCCATAACAACCGTAATAACTGTAATAACCATAACAACCGTAACAACTGTAACAACTGTAACAACCGTAACAACCATAACAACCATAACAACCATAACAACCATAACAACCATAACAACCATAACAACCATAACAACCATAACAACCGTAACAAGCTGTGACAGGCTGTTAGCTGTAATCATAACACTTTGCAGCGTCAAGCACTTCTTTCTGGGCGCCCCTTACTGTTACAACTTCAATCCAAGCGTCAATAGCTTGGGTATATGAAGTTGGCGGATCTTCTTCTCCAATCTCCCCTTCCAGCCTTGTCGAAAGCTCTTCCTTGTTACGATGGTCACGGAGGTCAAGAAGCCAGTCTGGAGAATAATAAGCTAGATTGAATCTAAAGAGAGGAGAAGAAGAAGAAGGAAGGAAGGTGAGGCTATTCCTCGTAATATACAGTTGTCCGCTTAGCAGTTGTAGCCTTGGTGGCTAAGGCTGCACCTGTAACAACCATAACAACCATAACAACCATAACAACCATAACAAGCTGTAAGCTATAATCGTAACATTCCTGGCGCTCACGAATGAGAGTACTCACAAGCTGCCCAAGGGAGTTATGAGTTGTGCTTTGGATAGACTCAAACTCTCGAGTCACAAGCCTCTAAAACACCCGGTTGGCCATATGGCCGTACAGTTCTGCTTTATCAAAGCAGATCTGTAAGACTATCGTCTTCTCACTTTCGGTAAGCTCCTTTCCAGCCTTTCACCCCTTTCCCTTATCATTATTATTGCCTCCTCTTTCAGTATCAGTTGCTAACTGAGTATAGCTTTGGCTATTATCACTTATGAAGCCTTCGGTTTGGATATATTCAGCAGTATGAACAGTATCGGCTTCGTCTGCGAGAAGGAATGCATTAGTATGCGGCTCTGTATATGGTTCGCTTTGGAAACTAGGCGCTGGCGAGTGGAAACGGAAGCTATTCGGAGGATTCGAGGGTACTGGACGGGATGAGGAGGCTTGGGAAGTCGAGATATTGACTTGAAACGACGAATAATAGGGGTTCATATTGCTGTATATAGTCTATATTATTGTTATACTACTCATACAGCTTCACGGCTTCATGTAGTCTAACCTATTATAATTATAACTAATCTATATACAGTAATGATACCTGCTGCTACAGTGTATCACCTCGGTGCTACACTATAACAGCGGTCTTCCTAATCAGGCAATTTTGATGCTGGGATTGGTCAGGGGTCTACTTCCTATTACGGCTAATACAGGTGGGGCTGCTACATTTTGCTACAGTGTTACAGCACTTCTGAAGTGGCCGATTGTAGTCGAGTACTAAGCGGGGTGAACTACGCGATTTACGCCATTAGACGACTTACGCCATGACCTACGTTATGGCTAACTGCATACGATACACTACTAATTTACTAGGCTAGAAATCCCCTTTCCTATTTGGGCACGTGGGGCCGGAGTAGACACCTTGGCATTAGGTACGCCTTACCAAATATGTTACTGTTACACGCTAAAAGTGTGACAGTAACAGTTGCTAAATTGCTCTATTGCGACTAAAATAACACATACGGGCGCATGAGAGCGTATAGGCAGTGGGATAGTGGTCTTAAAACTGGCGTTCGACCGCTTCAAATATAGTCTGCTTGTGCCCCGTTAACAGTCGGTCCTATGCAATAGCAAAGTTGAGCACTCGTTATGAGGGAATCTCTAGGTATCATCTTTTTGTAATATTTGTGAAATGAAATCATGCAGCTGAATCGATTGAATCGAAGTATACAAGGTAACGAGCTTTACAATAACCTCAAGTCTTAAACAACGTGAAAGTATCCAACCCTGTAATCTACTAGCACACCAATGGAGCATACATACAACAACAGTTCTATCACTAAAATGCATCACTTTGTTCCTAAACCATCCTCAAGCCTCCCGAAAACCAACCAGCGCCCATGACTCCCTATATTTCCCAGCATTATGATCATTTGTGAATTATAGACAAAACAGTGTTGTTTTTGGAGCCCCTAAAATTTGTTCATGCTCAACGGATCGAGGTGCGGTTGGTGTGCTGACGGTGCGTGCGTTGCGGCAGAATTCCAATCTCTGCCTGGAGGTGGTCTCGGCGACGAAAATGAATGTGTGGGATTTTGATATTTGGCTTCGCGGCCGAAATAATCAGGCGTCTGCCTCCCGGATCTCCCTACTAGGGACGTGGCGGCTAGAGATAATTGAGTTATAGGAAGATCGGGTTTCGACGGGTAGTCCACGTCTCGGCCATTCGAGGCAAGCATCTCGTAAGTGCTAGGATCCTTACTGTAAGCTCTGGCAGCATCTGCACTAATAAACTCCCCGCTGGGCTTGGGCTTTGACCTGACTAAGTCGTACCAACCCGTAAACATCGACAGGCGCGACATGAGAAGCAACAGCCAAATACCGTTGCACTGGGAATGTCAGCACTACACTTCACAGCTACTAACGACGGAATGAGACTTACGGAGAGAAGAACAAGGACAGCGATAAGCGTGGCCTGGTTCATGATCAGGTCGGCGGATTTCTCCAAGCAAAGGCCTTTTTTGCCCTGGTTCGTCACTAAGCAGAGAAGCCAGTCCACGGATGGGTTTGTTTCCGTTTTTCCTCCCGCCGTGGCATCGAGCAGCGAGATATTTGCTGCCTTAATTTGGTTATTGTCCATCACGACGAAGACAACCGCAAAGAATATGACATCGATTATGATGATGATGACGATGGCGATACCCCTCCATTGAAGTTCCACAACTCGTTGAACTCGGCGATAGGCTTGTCGTGGGGTGAGAGTAACAACACTACCCGAATACGACGGAAGCGCAGAGCTGTTGGTGGTGCTGCTGTTATCAGAAAGAGAGGCCAAATAGACCTTTATGCAGTATCCAAACGTGGTGAACTGGATGATGACAGTCAAGCCACCAAATATCAGAAGCGGAATCCAAAAGTCCGCAAGACTGTTCGTGTGGTTGATATGGCAGGTTTCTAAACCAGGTTAGGAGAGGCACATGAGGACCATAATTTGTCTTACATACCTCCAAAGCGAAATGAAACTCCGCTGAATACCATGGCAATAGCAAGAGCAACAGCAGGAACACCCCAGCCTCCAGCTAAAGCACCCCACATAACTAAGAGCCACCCGCGTCAGCTATTGATACCGTTGTCCTTGTCAAAAGGTTCAACTTACAGGCTTTTCCAATTACAATTTGCCAACAAATTTGCAAATGCAGCGCGAGGGCACGCATGAATACCCACATGATACCGCACCAACCACCAGCCAAGAGAAATGCACCAGAGAGTGCGCATGTTGTACTACTCTTCATACCATGCGGCGTAATGGCGTTGGCGCATTGCTCGGGTCTCGCTCCCAAGGGGATAACAAATCCCAGCTAGAATGGATGGTTAGACCACTGGCGACCGCAAGACCTAAGGAATACATACGTGCATAATTACAACGGCAATGACAAGACAAATACTCAGATAGTGCCGATGCGTCTTCTCAACCGGCAGAACCGCAAACGAAAGTAGTAGGAACACAGTGCACACCAGTCCTACCACATTGAGCCAGCTACTCGCATTTGTTGCCGTCTGGAAGGAGTCGGGGTATAACCATTCCGTCGACGGACATGGCAAGCAACAGGTGATATTTGGCGCGAGTTCCGTACATATTCTGCCAGGAATATCTGGAGGGGCTTTATTAGCGGGGCCCGGCGAGCGCTGGCGACCCAGGGAGACTCACAGCCAGTTGTGATGTTGACGTATAATTCCTCTTGGAGGAAGGGAATATAACAGTTGCCCCGAAAGGCCGCATCCAATGCTGCGTCGTAAACCATATTTGCGATCCGAACTGCGAGGCGAAGACGTACTAAGATTCAGATTTCGGACCCGGCATCCGCCGCCGCCAAAGAGGTTGAAAATGGTCCCCTCTTGGGAAGTGGCTCTCGATGCGCCGGCGTCGAATTGGTGAATGCGCGACCGTTGCAACAGAGGCAGTTCTCAGGCCATGCTATGGGCTCGATCGCAAAGGAGTGTTATCTGAGCACGACTGGGCGTTTCAGCTTCCACGGACGAGGCAACAGCGCAACTTGAAGACGACGAATCGATCGGTCTTCTTGTCGATAGGGCGTGAAATGAGCGAGCTCGTGTGATCGTTTGTACGAGGAATGGGGAAGCAAGACGACCAAAAAAAACCTGGGGGAGACTACTGTTGCCTTAATAAGAAATTGTACTCCGTACTGTATGTACAGGGTGCATGGAGTGGGCGTTCCATAATAAAATTAATCTATGGGCAATACGCCAACAGATGCCCCCTGAGCATGCCAGACCTGTAAGATGGATGGTCCTTGGGTCGAGAATGAACCAAACGCGGTTCTTGTGGGGAAGCGGGGAGGGGCTGAGGGGGGGAAGGAGGGAGTAGTACGGAGGCGGCCGAATGAGCAGGTGGGGAAACCTCTACGGAGGGGAGGAAGTGGGAAAAAAATATCGCGACTGGCAAGGTATGAGGGGTGTGAGGAGAGCAGTGAGCACTAGGGCATGATAACAGGGGCGGGCAAGGCGACGCTAGGAGCCAAGGATTTGGTAAAAAGAGAGGCTATAGGGAGAGGCTATCTATCGTCCATTGATTCGCGAATTCCTCGCATCTCGGCGGTCAGGGTAGGAACGAATCAACGACGCCAGTTCATATGACCGAGGTCCCACTGGACCACCAGCTAACGCCGCTTGACTGCGGGGTCTGTCTGGCTGGACAGTTCCACCTCTCCGCTGTTTTAAAAAGTGGCGAGAAAGAATTATCTATACTCTGTATAACGCGTCAGGTACGTACGAGTGGTAAAGCAGCATGACAAACGCACATTACAACCAAAACCAAGAACCGCAGGGGATCCTCAGGGGGGAGATCCATTCGACTGATTCTTCCAATACCAAGCCTCTTTGCTGCCGGACCTCCATCTCCCCCGATCCAGGTCTCCACGTTTTCACCGTTCGTCAGGGGGAACTACAGTACAGTACGAGCGGCGAGCAGAGATCAGCTGGTTTTACCTACTAGTCTATGGTATTGCAAGTATGGTACTCTATATTAACGTGATATCGATCGAAATTCTGGCGCGCGTGCAGTTCATCTCATGATTATCCAGGAGAAGCGCTACTGCCGTTTAGTGGCACCAACTGTAAGCTACCGGCGGTGGTCTTGTCTTACTTCTTACTACTTACTACCTTACTAACCTCCGTATGTACATGGCCTTACACGGCAACTGTTCGAGTGCTGTTCGAGTGCTGTTCGAGTGCTGTTCGAGAAGTACTCCGTACTTCTGTTGGACCATTATTGTTGGAGCCACTAGCCAGATTGCAGATTAGTTCAATTTAGTTCAATTTAGGTCAAAACTGTGCGCTTTCCATTTTACGTCGATCGCGAGTTTGGCTGGTGGGGGCGGTCGGCAAATTGAAGCGCGACATGAACGTGCTATTATCATGAATACCCATACTAACCGAGGTTAGGCCACAAACCCCTCCCCTCCCCATCCATCTTCCCCGTTCCCGGTCACTTTCCACTACCATCTCTGACATTTCGCGTCCGCACACCCAGATTCCTCAAATCTGCTCGTGCTCTAGTACCGTTCCCGTCATCCGGTCTCTTTCTCCCGACGTTGGAGAAATACCCTGCATGAACGTACCCATTCTAAAAGCAAAGAGTAGGGCTGAAAAGTTCAACGAGCAACAAAAGTCCCAGCACCGAGCACTGGACGCAGCTGGTAAAAACTCCGTATCCAGATCAACGCGGGGAGATATAAGACCATGTGATAATCGGCTCGTTGTGGGGCTTCAGCCACGATATCCTGGCGTCCTCATCGGCGTCGAGTTCGCTTGGCTGTTGTCGAAAATACCACGTTTAGATCGTCGGTCGTCTCTTCTTTGATCGTCTCTTCTTTGATCGTCTCTTCTTTGATCGTCTCTTCTTTGATCGTCTCTTCTTTGATCGTCTCTTCTTTGATCGTCTCTTCTTTGATTGCCTCTCGCTTCTTTACCACCATCGTCGCTTGCACGATTACCCCATCCTCGGTCTCAGCTTTGATCTGCAGCTCCTCCTGCACCTCAGTCTTTTCGGTAAGCCTAATGGCGAAAGTTCTCAGATCAGCAGCAAAGAGCACAGAATGAGCCCAGCCAGCTTCCTCTCCCCATAACAACCGAAAGTGATTCCCAATCGCGTCGTATGTGGCTTTAGTCAAACTCTTGTGCTTGCCTTTGCCAAACTTATAGTCTCGTTGGGCTATCTGCCAAACATGTGTATCCACTGGGACCGATTCGCCCCACCCAAGGCCCATCAAGCACACGCAGTCTGCTACCTTAGGTCCGACACCTTGTAAAGCTAGGAGTTCTTCGTGAGCTTTTCGGTAGCCTGGCCGTCCTCCCGGCTCGAGAGTTTTCCATTCGGTTTCATCGAAGGGTTCGGTGTTACTTAAACTCTTAAGCCAGTTTTCCGGCTTCTCTTTAGATACTATGACTGCTGTCCTTGCAAGATATTTTGCGCGGTAACCGAAGCCCAGTTTCCTTAATTGCGACTCAACCTCTGGGCCTGCGAGGGATTCGGGAGTAGGGAAGTCATGGAAGGCTTGATCATGAACGTGACCGATCAAAGGCCCATAACTTAAACATAAGCTGTTAACCTGGAAAACGTTAGACAATCCCTGGAGACTCTGGAGATATAAAGGGTTTCACGCACCATCTGTGAAATCCGTGCGATGTTGTTGTTGCTACTGCAAATGAAGCCAACCAGAGCTTCCCAAGCATCTTGCTTCAGAATCCGAACCCCCGTGAACTTCGGCGCTCTCTTCTTGAAATTTAGATCCGCCTTGGACCACCGCTCGTACAATTCTGTTAGGTTTGGCTCAAGATTGAAGTAGTGCCGTAAGAGGGCCTCCGTATCGTCTTTGATAGAATCATCCTCGACCTTGACTCCTTTGCCGCCGGACGACAGTTTCGCAAGGAGCGAATTGGAAGGCCAGGTAACTTTATACAGCACATGATTTGGATCTTGCTTTGGATCTTGCTTTAAAGATATAACTCGGCCACGCAGTGAACAGGTCCTGCATATTATCAGTTATTGATTGCTGCATTGGGAAATTTTGATGTCACGAGATTGCCCACCATTCATCCTCGTTGAGCTTCTTCCAACGAAACGATTGTCCGCATCGCAAGGTAGTATCTAGAGAAAGATCCGCAAGGCTCACAGCTAACTTTTGCCACTCGCCGGTACGTATGCTATTCATTATTTTTAATTTTTTGTAAACAAATAAAGTATAAGATTGGAAAGTAGTGCTGTTATCTTTTGGAAGAGGTTATTTGGCCGACTCCTTTTTCTGTTGTAATAAACCTTATAATTGAGGCTACAACGGCCTCGGCAAGACTTAAGTCCGACTCCATTGACAGGGAAAACATAAGTGCCATCAAGAGAACAACCAGTGTAATATGGGTTGAAGATCGACGACAGTGAATTTATCCCCAATTGAGATAGCTACAAACTGCCTGTTTAATCGCCACTATGAACGGCGACAGCTACTCATCACGAGGTATGCGATCCTATTCAAAGCATTGTAAACCCGACAAAGCAGTTACTAATCTAATTTCCGGGCAGATGCTAGCAGGCCATCAAGGGATCCATATGTAAATTTTACTTCTATGATCTTTCAGCGAAATGATCAGACTAACATTATATAGGCTCCCAGAGGAGCTGACCGGGACGATCGACGAGTCGACAGAGATCGCGAGCGTGCAGGTGACCGAAGGAGATCGCGTTCGCCAGGCCACCGAGGCTCAAGGCCATCACGTCGCGAGGGAGATGTAGACTCCTACTCATCCAGCAGGGACTATAGGGAGAGGGAGCGCGAGGACAGATATTCGGGGAGAGATCGCAGAGGTGGGGGGGAGAGAGATTGGGATCGGGACCGTGGCAACTCAAGACGCGACACAAGGCGCGATGGCGACGATAGGCCGCCGCGAAGGGACAGAGATCTCTTCGACGATCGAAGGGGGGGCGGTGCTAGAAGAGGGGACCGCGGTGATCGCGATGGGTTCGGTGGAGGTGGAGGAAGACAAGAGCGCAAGAAGAGCGCCTCCCCGCCACCAAAGAAGAGGGAGCCGACCCCGGATTTGACTGATGTTGTGTCTGTTCTTGAGCGTAAGAGGCGGTTAACTCAATGGGATATCAAGCCACCTGGATACGAGAACGTTACAGCTGAGCAGGCCAAATTGTCTGGCATGTTCCCCTTGCCTGGTGCACCGCGACAGCAACCCATGGATCCCAGCAAGCTCCAGGCATTTATGTCGCAGCCAAGCGGATCGATTACAAATGCCGCACTTAAGCCCTCGAACTCGAGGCAAGCGAAGCGTCTTTTGGTTCACAATTTACCGAAGACCTTGTCAGAGGAGGGAATCGTCGAGTTCTTTAACCTACAACTGAATGGCCTCAACGTGGTTGAAGGATCAGACCCATGTCTTACTGCCCAGGTATCGAAGGACAAGTCTTTTGCCTTGGTCGAATTTAAGACCACTTCCGATGCAACTGTGGCTCTGGCAATGGACGGAATCGGAATAGAAGAGAATGGCGGCTCCCGTGCCCTATCCATCCGAAGGCCGAAGGATTACATTGTCCCAGCAGTGGACGAGGCCATGCACGAGCCTGGAGTTGTCACAAACGTTGTGCCAGACACCCCAAATAAAATCAGCATCTCAAATGTTCCGCCTTATCTCACCGATGAGCAGGTTACGGAGCTGCTGGTGTCATTCGGTGAGCTGAAGGCGTTTGTCCTTGCCAAAGATAGCACCACCGAGGAATCCAGAGGTATTGCATTCTGTGAGTATGTTGACGCAGCTGCCACCGACATCGCTGTTGAAGGATTAAATGGCATGGAGCTGGGTGACAAGCATCTCAAGGTCCAGCGTGCTAGCATCGGTACTACGCAGACTGCTGGCCTAGAAATGGGCGTCAATGCGATGTCGATGCTTGCTGGGACGACTACGGATGGACTCGACGAAGGCCGCGTCCTTCAGCTTCTTAATATGGTTACGGCAGAAGAGCTCATTGATAACGAGGATTACGAAGGTGCGTAGTTTCCATAATTTCCTCTATCCACTCACTTACTGACATAAAGCACAGAAATTCTTGAAGACGTCAAGGAAGAATGCGAGAAGTATGGCAAGGTCCTGGACATCAAGATCCCTAGACCAAGTGGAGGAAGCCGCCAGTCTGCAGGCGTTGGAAAGATATTCGTCAAATTTGACACTCCTGCATCTGCAGGCAAGGCGCTCCGCACCTTGGCGGGGAGGAAGTTTGCCGATCGCACCGTCGTCACCACATATTTCTCAGAGGTAAGAGACCATAATTTTTGTTCGTTTGGCCAAGCTAATATGATTCATAGGAGAACTTTGAGGTTGGCGCTTGGTAGTCCCAATCAGGTTACCCGTATTGGATGCGGACTATCTTACAACTTGTATCTGAACAGAGCAATTCCGAGTGGAGTTATGGTAATTAAGCCTCAAAATGCGCATGGCCATCTTTTTGCTAGTTGATTATGGTGGGAACGAGCATGAGCTGGCAGCATAGTGGATAATCAAGCTTGGACGAATAGTATTCAGCTTTGTACTATAATATGCTTTGTAACCATTCCATAAGTCCTGCAAACATCCTGCCTGTGAAGCTTGTTGACACTACTGACGATGTGAATAATTTATCCCAAGTGAATTTAAGGTCATGTGACATTTATATAAGATTACGCGCTAAATTCCGCCTCTCGTAGTAAATATATGCCATCAATGTCACCAAGTCGTGACAGAGACTCTTAACCTCACCTCCTCTCCGACAAGCTACTCCGCAACCATGTCGGACGATACCTTTGAGACGATCAGGAAGCTCCAGGCTGAGCGGAATGCCGCTTCTGCTGGTAAGAGTGGATCAAAGACATTTGATCCTTCCAGTCAGCGAACTGATGTTTCCACCAAGGCTTCCTTGACCGAAAGCTTCGACACCACCGTCTACGATCGTGCCGCTGGGGACAAGTTTGCTGGATACAACACATCGATATCAGTGGCTGAGGATGGTGAGGATGATGAAATGGCAGATGCTGACAGCAGCAGGAGGCTGGTTGGGCAATACACGGCCACCAGAAACCAGATGGACGAGTTCTCGCGGGGAGGCGGCGTTGAGGAAGAGGACATACTTCTAGGTCGGGAGAAGAGCGCGCGGATAACTGATCGGGAGACTGATTACCAAAAGCGACGACTGGATCGAATACTCACTGCGACAAGGGCAGACGCGTTTGCCTCCAACCGCCAGGCTGGAGCCGCAGAGGAAGGCGAGGGTTATCGGGAGGTTATGCGACGGCGCGAATTGGAGCGCGAAGAGGAAAGGGTCAAGAGAGCTATTGCTGATAAGGAGGCGGATGGGACTGCAGTTCAACACAAACCGACACTCGGCGATGATGGCCATGCGCTGAACGACAAGGAGAATAACGAAGCTGGATCTACGGAAGTTGTGGCTGCGGGAAGGAAGAGGAAGCAGCGGTGGGATATCTCGTCGGATGCAGGGACTGAAGCTGGAGCAGTGCAACCCTCAGAGGGGAAGGTGAAGCGATCACGATGGGACCAGACGCCAGCGCCAAGTGGCGCATTAGTCGAAGACACACCACGTCGGCGCTCACGATGGGATCAAGCTCCAGCTGCTACACCAATTGGGCAGCAAGGCCTCGTCACTCCGCAACACCCGTCGCAAGGTGGTATGATGGTTCCGACTGCATTCGGGACTGATATATCCATGCGCAATATGGCATTGTCTGATGAGGAGCTGGACCTGATGCTACCTTCGGAGGGTTACAAGATATTGGAGCCACCACCAGGATACGCCCCTATTAGAACTGCTTCCCAGAAAATGATGCAAACCCCTGCGTCGATGAGTGGGGGCTTCATGATGCAAGATCCAGAATCCCAGCGCTCTATGGGCAAGCAGTTGCCCACCGAGATTCCAGGTGTTGGCGACCTTCAGTTTTTCAAGGCTGAGGACATGGCATACTTCGGGAAGTTGACTGATGGAAGTGACGAAAATGCGATGAGCGTCGACGAGTTGAAGGAAAGGAAGATCATGAGGCTCCTCCTCAAGGTCAAGAATGGAACCCCTCCCATGCGGAAAACCGCCCTTCGTCAATTGACGGATAACGCGCGACAGTTTGGAGCTGGCCCTCTCTTCAACCAGATATTGCCACTGCTGATGGAGAAGAGTCTCGAGGACCAGGAGCGACATTTGCTTGTCAAAGTCATCGATCGTGTTCTTTACAAGCTGGACGACCTGGTGCGGCCTTACGTACACAAGATTCTTGTCGTCATTGAACCTCTGCTTATTGACCAAGACTACTATGCGAGGGTGGAGGGTCGCGAGATTATTTCCAACCTGAGTAAAGCTGCTGGTCTCGCTCACATGATCAGCACGATGCGACCTGATATCGACCACGTCGACGAGTACGTCCGAAACACAACCGCGAGAGCCTTTGCGGTAGTAGCTTCCGCGTTAGGTATTCCTGCACTTCTACCGTTCCTTCGGGCTGTATGCCGAAGTAAGAAGTCGTGGCAAGCAAGGCACACTGGTGTCAAGATTGTGCAACAAATCCCTATTCTGATGGGTTGCGCTGTGCTTCCCCACCTGAAAGGGTTGGTGGACTGCATTGGCGGCAACCTCAACGACGACCAAACCAAGGTGCGGACCGTTACCAGTTTAGCAATCGCAGCTTTGGCTGAGGCGGCCAATCCATACGGTATTGAGAGCTTCGATGATATTCTGAATCCTTTGTGGACAGGAGCCAGGAAGCAGCGTGGAAAGGGCCTGGCTGGGTTTCTCAAGGCTGTCGGTTATATCATCCCGCTGATGGACGAGGAGTACGCCAACTACTACACAAGTCAAATCATGGAGATCCTTCTACGAGAGTTCTCTTCCCCAGATGAAGAGATGAAGAAAGTCGTTCTCAAGGTGGTCTCACAATGTGCTGGCACTGATGGTGTTACGGCTGGCTACTTGAAGGAGCACGTCCTGGATGAGTTTTTCAAGAGTTTCTGGGTTCGACGAATGGCTTTGGACAAGCGCAACTACAGACAGGTCGTCGATACTACGGTGGATCTTGGGCAGAAGGTCGGCGTAGGGGAGATTGTGGAGAGAATTGTCAACAACCTAAAGGATGAGAGCGAAGCTTACCGAAAGATGACCGTGGAGACGGTAGAGAAGGTAATTGCCAGCTTGGGCGCTGCAGACATTGGCGAGCGCCTGGAGGAGCGACTGATTGATGGAATATTGCATTCCTTCCAGGAGCAGAGCGTGGAGGATATTGTCATGCTGAACGGCTTCGGAACAGTCGTCAATGCTCTGGGAACTCGCTGCAAGCCATACCTACCACAAATCGTCAGCACCATTCTGTGGCGCCTCAACAACAAATCTGCTACAGTACGACAACAGGCAGCCGATCTGATTTCCCGGATTGCCATGGTGATGAAGCAGTGCGGCGAAGATGCACTGATGTACAAATTGGGCGTTGTTTTGTACGAATACTTGGGAGAAGAATACCCAGAGGTGTTAGGATCCATCCTCGGCGCACTCAGGTCCATCGTGACCGTTGTTGGTATCAGCCAGATGCAGCCACCTATTAAAGACTTACTGCCCCGCCTCACTCCGATTCTGCGCAACAGACATGAAAAGGTGCAAGAGAATACCATTGATTTGGTTGGACGTATCGCGGATCGCGGACCAGAAAGTGTCAATGCGAGAGAATGGATGAGAATTTGCTTCGAATTGCTGGACATGCTGAAGGCCCACAAGAAGGGTATTCGTCGGGCAGCCAACAACACATTCGGCTTCATCGCTAAGGCCATCGGACCACAGGATGTTTTGGCAACTCTCCTGAACAACTTGCGCGTTCAAGAGCGACAATCTCGTGTCTGCACAGCCGTCGCTATCGGCATCGTTGCAGAAACCTGTGCGCCTTTCACGGTCCTGCCAGCTCTGATGAACGAGTACAGAGTGCCAGAGCTGAATGTCCAAAACGGTGTGCTCAAGTCTCTATCTTTCCTTTTCGAGTATATTGGGGAGATGGCCAAGGACTACGTTTACGCCGTCACCCCTCTTCTGGAAGATGCCTTGATAGACAGAGATCAGGTTCACAGGCAAACGGCAGCTTCAGTAGTGAAGCACGTCGCACTGGGTGTCGTGGGACTGGGCTGTGAAGATGCCATGCTCCATCTACTCAACCTGCTGTATCCCAACCTCTTCGAGACCAGCCCCCACGTCATTGACCGCATTGTTGAAGCCATTGATGCAATTCGCATGGCAGTTGGACCTGGCCTGACGATGAACTACGTCTGGGCCGGACTCTTCCACCCAGCGCGCAAAGTCAGACAGCCCTACTGGAGACTGTACAACGATGCGTATGTCCAGGGCGCCGATGCGATGGTACCCTACTACCCTGGTCTGGGTGACGAGAAGATGGATAGGCCTGAACTGGCGATTGTGATTTGAAGCTTTGGAGCTCGTGGGAAAGGGAAGGCGGGAATGGGAAAAGGGTTCGCGGGCGTTATATGATTGATATGTGTACTTTAGTTAACAGGCATGGCGAGGTAGTTAATACAGGTAAATGATACACGGGAGTGACAACCAACGCTGCATCGTTCTGTGATAGTGTAGAGAGTCATTCTGTTTCTGGCATGCTGTGGTTCGTGATCAGTAAACGCCGTAAGCTTCCATGGCTTCCTTGGCCATGCTTCATTGAAGATCCAGTAAGCCATTGAACCCACGAGACTCGCCCCCAACGATGCGAAACTGGCATAATCAAAAACCGCAATCAAACTTGCAGTCACCTGCTCTAGGTACACATCTCCAACATATTCAATCTGCCAACTATCATCAACAAAACCACTCACTCTCTCCCGACCAAGGTCTCCCAAGGTACCCCGATGACGTTGTCCACTGCATCCATCACTCCCCCCCCTTGTCGCTCACCGCCAATGCCCATCCCCCCAGCTAACACCGCCGTTTGAAGATGCGACGCCCCCTCGCAACGCCAACGACGTATGCTCCCAGCACGAATATCGCGACGTGTAGCATCGTACGCTACGTGGCGGCGAGGAAAGTTAGCAAGCAAGCCCGCTCAATTAAATTGCGCACGGGAATTGCGCGCGGGAATAACAGGGAGATAGATACAGTACCCTCATCCATCCCCGCTCAGCTGGACGGCTGGGAGAACCGATTAGCGCCACAGTAATAACTCAGCGACCCCCACCAGGGATCCTGCTGGATCCTGCTGCAGAACTCCCCCTTACCCCCCTTTACCCCCCTTACGGGTCCTCATTTGTTTCAGAACCACCTCCCCGCCCCCCGCCCCAAGGCCGCTACCCCCCAGTTCCCGGCGTCGGAATGGCTGGGCGCTGATCGGGGCCATGACGATCGATCGCATGACGATCGTGGCGGATTGGGCGTGGTGCGAACCATAATTTGAGGTGTGTCTCATGTGGAGGTGACTATGTATCTGTAACTGTAACTACAGTAACTGCTTGTTCTCTTCAGGACGGTACGTACGATGATGGTACACACGCGCTGCGGGATGGAAGGGGATGTAGTACCGTGGCGCCGAGTTACAGGCGGAATGCGATGCTGGACCCTGAAGATCCACCACCACCACCACCACCACCGCCACCACAGCCGCCGTACGGGAAATCGAGAATAGAAGCACAACCCACAGCGTACAAATACCCCCATCCCCTGACGTCTTCACACGCACCGCTGCAGCGTCCCTGGGCCAGTTGAGCTGCCCACTCCATGTGAGAAGCAGGCGGGGGGAAGTCACATAAGCGATGCGTGTTTCGGGCAGATAAAAACCCCTTATCTGTTGTCTTCTTTGCTCGGCGAGTTGAGAGGGTTTCCGAAGATAGGGCAGGGAGGAGATGTGGGTTGATGGGATGGAGTAGGTGGCAACCAGTTACTTGCACAGCCTCTCTCGAGTTGTTGAGCATAGTGTGATGGATGAGTAGAGGCAATTGCACAAGAAAATTTCACGGGTCAATTTGGGAAAAGTTGGTGAATATGATTGTTGTGTTGGCCGAAGCCGCCGCCATCCCTTTCATTGTGGTATTTTTTATTGAAACGACCGTTTTTGTTATGTCCTAATTCGTCCCCGGACCCAGACAACTACATGATGGGTATATATCGACATTGAGAGCAATGAGAATGCGCAACACTGATACAGTGATACAGTAAAAATCGAAGAAAAAAGTCCGCCCTGAACGCCACGCAGTTTCTCCCATTCCACACGTGGTTTAATGTAGAACCCCCCAGGTGTTCCAGTTCCATAACCCCCCCCCAGCCCCCCTTCCCACTTCCCTCTTCTCCATCCTAAAATAGTACAGTATTATTGTAGTGATCGTGATTTGAGAAGCCAGGAAAAAAACATTTGGCGATTCTCCGCATGACCAACCGTCAATTTGAATATCCACAGGATTAGTCGAATAATGTAGTAACATATCCACAGATTCGACGTTTGTCCCCCTCATAACATGGCTCTCGTGATTTTTGCTCTCGCAACTCTTCTCTCTCTCTTTCTCTCGTCTAGGTCGCAGTCTTCGGGACATGGGTATCGATGCAAGGTGCAGTATTTTGTCGTTAATTTGTTTTGAAATCTTTTTATTCTGAGTGATGGTCGTCGGATCCCGCTTCAGAAGGCGCTCCTCCCTTGTGCACCTTTCGATGCCTGCGCAGGTTCGAGACGACTGAAAAGTGACGACCGCATCCTTCAACCTCACACGCAAAAGCTATTAAACAGTCAGTAATCTCGTCTTGTCTCCATTGGGAGATTCAACGTACGCTTCTCGCCAGTGTGGCTGTACATGTGCGTCTGGAGCGAACTGGGGCGTGTAAAGCGTTTATCACACACTTTGCACTTGTGCTTCTTCTGCGTGCTGGATGAGACCTTGGAGCTGAATTGGCCCATCATGGACGAAGGAGCGGGGGGAGCTCCTCCGCCCATAAACCCAGGGGGCCTTGGGAGCGTCCTCGACGAGGCGGCCTCGATATCTGATCCGGTATTAGAATAGTCGCTGAGAGACGAATCGACAGAACCACCAAAATAAGCTGGATAAGTTCCAGAAGAAGATATGGACGAGTTTGTGGAGTGCGTGGCAGGGAATCCGTAGGCGTCGCCCGATCCGCGCCCGTTGCGTGCATTGGGTCCATAGATGTTGCGCGGGGTGGTGTTCTGGCTCATAGCGATCATCCCACGGCTCGCGTTGATCGCATCACCAAAGTCTCGGGTCGTCTCGGAACTCACACTTCTGCTATTGAAGTCAATAAGGGAGCTTTGACGCCGACGTTCATTCTCGGTTGCGGTTGTGAGAAGGGAACTTGAGGCAACTGACGGCTGTGATAGTCTCCGCGAATTGTCCGCCTGTGCTTGCTGCTGGAGCGCATAGGTCGACCGTACTGGCGCCGCAGTATAGCCCATGGAATCGTATGGCGTAGAGGTTGCGTAGGTTGGGTGGGAGGAGCCTCCGCTCGAGTAGGAAACACTGCTGCCGTAGGCGGGATTGGGCGGCTGGACACGGTTCTGGCTCATCACGTCTTGCGGCAAGCTGTGCATCTGCTGGTGCCCGTAAACAGTCCCCATGGGTGCGCTACCTGCGGAAGCTGAAGTGTGAGGGGCGGAGGCGTATGGTGGCATGGAGGAGGCGTGCGAGCCAAGTCTTGCCGGCGGTTCCTTGGGTATCGAGTCCAAGCTGATGGGGTTCAGGTCGTGTGATGAAGAATACAGGCTATGGTGAGGAGGCGCCGAGGATGCACTCCACGGGTTTGTGAAATGCGGCGAGTGATTATAAGGCATGTGATCGAAGTTCAGAGCGCCAAATTGACGCTGTTGATGGTCTATGGCCATAGTCATAATCGACAATTATTGTGTTAAGGTCAGTTATGAGAAGGGACGGGGAAGTTGATATGTAGGGTCGCGGTCGTGGTATTATGTGTGCGTATTATGTGTGCGGTGTGGTGTGGTGTGGTGTGCGGTGTGGTGTGCGGTGTGGTGTGCGATGGTGTTTTTGTTCCTGGAAGGGTTGGGGAAGGCGGCTTCCATATGTAACTTGGTGGATATAAGGTTCAGACGATCATACAGAGAGGAAAGACGGGATCAGCGTTCCTTATGTAGGTATCGTGAAGCTGGCTGGGTTGACAGTTTGGAGTGGCGCTGGTAGCTGGTTGGGTAGGGGTGGGACAGGGCCTAAAGTATGGAGAAAGAACGAAACTGGTAATAGTCCGAACGGTGTGTGGAGTGTGTGGAGAGGTGGGAAGGAAGGTTGGGTGCGGAGTAGCAGCTCTAGTTTTAGTGTATAGCGGTATAGTAGCGGTAGTAGCGGTAGTACCGGTAGTAGTTCAGGTAGTAGCCGGTAGAAGGAGCAAGGGATAGGGATAGGGATAGGGATAGGGATATGGACGGGGTAGATGGTTAGCTCGAGTATTAGTTGGAGTATGTGCTCGAGTATTAGTTGGAGTATGTGCTCGAGTACAGCTCGAGTATTAGCTCGAGTATAGATGGGAGTGTGGAGTAGAGTAGAGTCAGTTCTTTCGACGGGTAAGGATCTTAGTGGGTTGCAGGAGAAAAGACCCGCCTTTTAAGTATATAATACTCCAAGTTATAAGTACTCTTTTTCTTCGAGGCTTCTTTTCTTTAATACATGCAATACTTCCATACAATCCCGTACATGATATCCATTTAATACCATACAATCCCGTACATGATATCCATTTAATACTTCCATACAATCCCGTACATGATATCCATTTAATACATACAATCCCGTACATGATATCCATTTAATACTTAAAATCCCGTACATGATATCCATTTAATACTTAAAATCCCGTACATGATATCCATTTAATACTTAAAATCCCGTACATGATATCTATTTAATACATACAATCCTTCCCATACAATCCCGTGCATAATATCCCACAAAGCTGGTCAAGGACACTATCACAAACGAAAAGAAGAATAAAATAAATAAAATAAAATAAAAAAACAGTTAGAGAGATACAACCACTACTACCCAAACCCAAACTGTCCATTCACACCATTCACACACACACACACACAGTGCCGGCCTTGTACGCAATGTTTTTTCTGTCATGTATCTTTCTTTACACGCACAGACAAGCCAGGATCAGGATGTGGTTGGTGGTTGCTTGTATGGCCATGCTGCATGGTTGCTGTACGGAGTATCTTGGCCGTTGACACCTATCAAGGTGGGCAACGATATGGATCCCAAACCAAGATGTGGCACCGAGTACGGAGTACAAATTGTAGTATTGTATGTACTGTGTACAGGGCAAGTTTGAGCAGATAAATTGACGGGAGACGAGATTTTCCGTTTTATTTTATATACGGTATATAACCTGCACGCAGTCGAGAGATGGGATAGATGGGACTGCAGCGGGATGATGCTTTCCCAACGGCCAAGGGTAGGTACAGCCAAGCACGGCAGAGTTATGGTACGATGGTTTGGAGCAGCTGCCGAAGGGGAGTGGGGAATTCCTGGAAGGTCTACAGTAAAGCTTAGAGACGAGGCGTAAAAGAGGCGCAAAGGGGAGTGGAGGGGAGTGGAGGGGAGTGGAGGGGAGGGGAGGGGAGGGGAGGGAGAGAGTGGAGGGGAGGGGGAGTGGAGAGAGGGAGGGGAGAGATGAGATGAGAGAGGAAAGACGTCCCCGAAGGAATTGTGGGATGGGTTAAAGAAAGGTTGGTGACCTTTGAGGTGGGGGGAAAGAGGGGGGGTAGTCAGTTCAGGTGGGTACAGGGGGTTCAGGGGGTTCAGGAGGTTCAGGGGGTTCAGGGGGTTCAGGGGGTTCAGGGGGTTCAGGGTCGACGATGGTGGTCAAGGACGGACGGAGATGGGACATTTAAGAGGGTCCTGCTAGGATTCCTAGTACACCACTACTGTTACTTACAGCTAGTCTACCGTCTCCATCATCATCACCAGGCACTATCCTTCAGGCGCCAGTGCCGTCTCATGTACCTTTACTCCACAACACGGTAGAGAACACCGCGAAACGGCGATGGGAGTACAAGCAGGAGAGCTAGACTTTCAATGTCCACGATGGCGTCACCGACGGTGGCCCGCAATCAATCAACTGGTGGCGGATTATAGTTGGGCCTGGGCGTGGTGGCGTCGTGAGATCCTCCTGCTCGCCAGAGGAGGTGAAGGAGCAACTGCCCGATTCTGACTGCTGGCCCACACAGGCCGGGATGCTAGTGCTCGGCAGAGGCATGTGGGCTAAGGGTAGTTGGGAGTTCAACCTCTCCTCTCAACCTCTCCTCTCAACCTCTCCTCTCAACCTCTCCTCTCAACCTCTCCTCTCAACCTCTCCTCTCAACCTCTCTACATTGCATCATTATATTGTCGTCCCCGTCATTTCCCTCTGCAGGCCCCCAGCAAGCCAAAACGAACAGCGGAGCACCTCTCAAAGTGGCACCCTTGCTCAACAACGACGGACCAATTAAGCACAGAGCGGATCTCGATATCTGAAACATGGCCGAAAGTAAAGTAGGTCGTCGTTGCTAATAACAATGCTAATAACAATGCTAATCAATGCTAATAACATGCTAATAACATGCTAATAACATGCTAATAACATGCTAATAACAAACTAATAACATGCTAATAACATGCCAAAAACCCACCTACCACACCACAGCCAACCATACCAGCGCCGCCCTGGCCCCACAGCCATTCGTGCGCGAATCGGCGATTGCCAAGGGTGGGAACTTCACATTTTTACAACTCTTAGGCGATCGATCGGTTGCAGGGAGGTCGATGCACAGCCACCATCTTCGAGCTCAGCAATGATTTCGTTTCTCTTGGTCCGCAATCTCCAGGCCTCGGGGATGATGCCTGCAGTGGGAATTGAAACGAAACGAGAACCAGACAGTTGCTTGTTCCCCGGATCCGATCTGGCGTCACACACAAACTGCCCCGAAATGCCCGGTGACAAAGACACCATCGTATTTTTCTTTTTTCTCATCTCATATCCTCACCTCCCGGCGGTTAGCAGGGCAAACCACGAAGCCGAGCAAAGGACCCAGTATTATCCGCAAGATTGAAGAAACAACAGCAAACTAGGCGGGCTAAGGAGAGGACAGAATGCTTAGTGGATGTTTCATATCCTTCTACCCCCATCTCCTAATCGACGGCATATGGAGTTTTCTCATTTCAGGGATTCGTTCAAGGTCAATTCCAAGGTTCATCGAGGTAGGTCATCAGGGTATCCCCACCCACCAGATCCAGGGCAATCTCCAGTTTTGGTACAATTACTTGACAAACACCATTTGACAAACACCATGTAGAAAGTACGGAGTACGGAGTACGGAGTACGAGAGGTAGTTTACTATCGGGATGTGGTCCCTTGGGTGGTGGGTGGTGGTGGGTTGGGGTGGTGGGTGGTGGGTGGTGGGTGGTGGGTTGGGGGGTGGTTTGGGGTGGTGGGGGTTTGGGGTGGTGGGGGTTTGGGGTGGTGGGGGGATAGATTGGGATCGGCAGCGTAGCGTGTTTCAGGCATAATGAGGACAGAGGCAGTCAAGCAACGGTTCGGCCGTGCTGACATGACATGTCCCTCTCCGGCCTGCCTGCGCATACATACGGGGGCAGCTGCATCGCATCGGCCCCATCTTATTATGTTGAGCACAGTCAGTCAGCTGGTATGGAACAGAGGCAGAGGAGGCGATAGGGCGGTAGCAACGGGGGGGATAGTGATGGACGCACATGGGCGGAGTCTGTTCACAGCTCACAGCGTGAGTGGAGTAACTAACTGTAGTCACAGCGTGCGTGGAGTAACTAACTGTAGTCACAGCGTGCGTGGAGTAACTAACTGTAGTCACAGCGTGCGTGGAGTAACTAACTGTAGTCACAGCGTGCGTGGAGTAACTAACTGTAGTCACAGCGTGCGTGCAGCAACTACAGCACAGTAACACACCACCACCATCACCACGCCACCACCCTCCCTCCATCACCATCACCACACCACCACCCTCCCTCCCTCTCCGCGCAATTGCCGGCCCATCGCGTGGTAGGGCGATCCCATGGCCGATCGCTGTGTGCCCACGCCCACGCCTACGCCTACGCCCACGCCTGTCCCGCCCTCACCTGTGCCGCCCTCACCTGTGCCGCCCTCACCTATGCCGCCCTCACCTATGCCGCCCTCACCTATGCCGCCCTCACCTATGCCGCCCTCACCTATGCCGCCCTCACCTATGCCGCCCTCACCTCTGTGATGTGGTTAGTGCATGTGCTCGACGACGACGTAGTGTAACGTCCTTGCCCCTCTACCAAACTCCCGTTGCCAGTCAGACAGTCAGACAGACCGGACAGTCGTCAAGGGGAAAGGGGAAAGAAAGGCCTCTTCTCCCTTCCCTTCCCCCCCCGCGACCGATCCCCCACATCCGCCGCCAAGGCCTGTCACATAGGGAGGGCACCCCTGTTGACAATTTCCAAGACTGAGTTTTTGGAGAGTGGATGCTCCACTGGTGTATGCTGCAGCATGGATGGATAGATGGATGGTATGGAATCGTATGATTGTAGATATACACTCACTCACTCACTCACTCCATCACTCACTCTACCTGTGGCGGGTAGGTATACGCACTCCCAATCCATCTCACGCCGCCCATCCCCCCATCCATCACATACCTCCTCCTCCTCATACATCCCCCCCATCCATCACATACCTCCCACTAACTCCAGCGTCCGTGTTCCCTCGCCCTCACACCCAAAGATCATCCCCCCCCTCCCCCTCGAGAGCTTAATCCCCCCCATCCCCCATCGAGACAAGATCCCGAGCCACCACTCCCACCACATCCACACACGGCACGCGTCCGACGAACGGCCGAATCGCAGGCGCCTCCACCGCTGCAACCACGTCTCATGGCTTTCTGCCACTGTGGAGGTGGTTGAGGGTGGCTTGGGAGATGTGGGGGGGGGGTTATCCACTCTTGAATTTCTTTAAGATTGAGGATACCAGAGAATGGGGCGGATGGCGTTTTGGCTGCATCTAGTGACGGACGTGACGGAGGTACACACACATCCAGTCCCCCCCCGCGCCCCTCCACACCGCCACCAACTCCAAACACTTCCTTACCATCTTACCTTCCCAATCCTCTGTATCCTCCAACCCCTCTATCCTCCCCATCACCATCACCATCACCATCACCATCCCAGCACCCTCTCTCCACCCTGCCCTCCCCCCCCCCCAAAACCCCCCTACTAGTCCCCAGCACAGCCTCCTTTCCCCCCCCTCCCGTCCCCGCTGCAATCTCCCCTGCACCACGCCCCGCTAGTCGCCCCCGGTTGTGTGGGAGGTGAGGTGCGTAGTTGTCGTCGGTCGGCAGCTGGAGTGTACTGTAAGTGGTGAGGGTGGTGAGGGTGGTGAGGCGGGTGAGGTGGTGGTGGTGGTGAGGGCGATGGAGCTGCTGTGCACATAGGGTACGCTACATCTCATCTCAGACATTCTCCGCATCCCCATATCGATATCTCGGATTTCGTGTGAGACATGCGTTACCACACAACACAACACCACACACAATACGCCCCCTATTCACGACTATTCACGACGTCTTAGATTCCGGGGATTTCGGGGAGCTGGGGTGGTGGGGTGGTGGGTGGGTGGTGTGTCTGAGTTGCGTCAACTCTCACTTACTCAGTCAGTCAGTCAGTTAGTTAGTCGGTTAGGTCACTTTTTCCCGCTCGCTCTAAAGGAGTGAGTGGCCGGGCATGGATGTATGGATTGGTCAACGGGGACTGTCAAGGTCGAGAGATATATGTGCTGGCTTGTCTCATTCAGAGGGATTTTTTTTGTTCAGGGCTCTGTTATTTTCCCGTCCCCATCCCGCTGTCTCTGACGAGATTTGACCCCCCCTGTGTGCGAAAAAATCCATTTACACCATCACCCATTAGAATCCCACTCCGTCCCGTCCCCCCTGCCTGCACTCCCCATCCTTCATCCTCAGACACCGGCCCCTCCCCCGTCCTATGATACACGTATCTTCTTCCCCCGGAAAAAAAATGTGATCGAGACTGTAGTAGTGTAGCTTGCGAGAAGACGAGAGAGAAAAAAATCGAACATAGGAAATAGAAAAATCAAATCATTAAGAGGTATCCGGTGCTGCGCGAACCACTAGATATACTGCAAGACCGCAATAGTACACATAGTATGTATGGTAACAGCCGCTGAAGGGTAGTCGGATTGTCGCTGTCAAACTCTGGCGCAGGTTGCGTGGGTATCTCCTAAATGAACTCTGGAGAGAGGCGCGATATCGAAACATTCGCTCGCAAAGTGGCCCTCCTATCCTGAACTCCGTAAAACATAAAATCACAAATAACGCCTCGCTTTCATAAACAAATCCGCATCTTCTTCTTCCTCCGTATTTTCTCATATCGCCGGCGCGACCGACCCACGATTCTTCCCGAGCGTCCCAAAGATCTGCTCCGGAGGAAGACGGCTCATCTGGCTCGTCTTGTCGAACATATTAGTCGGCGCAGGCACGTAGCCCTCACGCTTGCGGCGGACGCGCTCGGCGATGATGCCAGCGACGACCAGGAGGAAGATCAAGGCGAGAGCGATGGCGAGGCCGATTAGGACGATGAGGCCGAGGGCGAGGTGGCTCTTGCCATCTTCGAAGACGTTTTGCTGCTGTGAGAAGATCTTGGAGATGCTGCCGGGTCGTTTGTCGGATGTGCTGGTCAGAGCGTATGGCTGGAAGGTGGTCCCGTTGAAGAGGACGGCGGAGGCGTTGCCGAAGGAAGGCAGGTTGAGAGATCCGGTGAGTAATAAGACATAGTTGGATGGGAGGAGATCTGTAGATTTGTGGTCTTCTGACAACGGAAGGACTTGGATGCCGCGGATTTCAGACTTTGATCCCAGCGTGTACCCCACAGAGCTCCACTTCGAGCCATCATACTTCATCAAGAAAGCCGAGCCGTTCGTTGCAACCCCTGAGACCCAAAACTGCGAAGAATCCTTGGAGGCTGGTGTAAATGAAGTAATCGCTCCTGGGATTGCAGCACCTCCATCAAACCCAGTCCAGACCTGGGCCTTCGCGTCGTAGGTGGCCAGTGCAGTCTTGTTCCCTGATACTTCGAGCGATCCACCAACGATGAGCGTGTCGGCACTTTGCCATGCCAACGTATTCACTGTTCCAGACATAGTGCCTGGACGATTCCACTGAGTAGCGGCCGCGGTAAAGACGCAAAGTCCAGGGCAGTCGAGGGAACCCGCATGGTCGAAGCTTCCAGCTACGTAGACATCTCCTGTGCTCTCTCTGATAGTGATGGCAGAAACGATCACTTCATCACCAGCAAGCGCTGGAGGCTGGATAGGTGTGGTTGCCGTCTTCAGGTTGTAACTGACGAGACCGTTGATGCTAGCTCCATTTACCGTGCCTTTGAGCGCTCCGCCAACCCACAAAACGTCGTCGTTAGTTGCAAGAGCCATAACCGTAGAGTCATTCCTGAGTTGAGAAAGGCCAGTCACAGTATCGGATTTTCCCCCGTCAAGGATGAGCAGATTGTTTATCGTAGAACCATCCGTGGCCTTAGCTTCAAAGTGTCCTCCAAAGATTGTCGCGTTAATTCCGTTCGCTTCGTAGAAGTGGCCAGTGACGACGCCCGATAATGTGTTATTGCCTGAAGTTGCTCTCTTGGAAATGGAGCTCGATGACTTGGTTTTTGCTTGAATATCCACAGGAAAGCTACTGATCTTTCCATCGGTTAAAGCAGCAGCGCCATGGGCGCCAACCTGCGAAGAAGATAGCGAGCCTGAAAACAACGAGCCGCCGCCGTTTGGAAGGTCAACGGCTGTCGTCAACTTGCCATCGAACGACATCTGCGTCGCTTTGAGATTTTGAAGCCAGTTGCCTCGCGAAGGAACCCAGATTGCAAATCCAGAAACTGGAATGGACTTGTTGGCGCCGAAGGCATTGATTTCATCAAAGTTTCCTGTGAGAGAAATGACCATTTCGAGTGCTCCATTAGTGAAGTTGACAGTAAACGGAACAATGTCCGAAACCCGTCCGTTGACGCCGGCGCCTAGGGTGTTCCATGTGTCTTTTGACACATCATAGGCAGCCACATGATTCAGCCCCTTGGTGTTGGCTTTACTTGTGTTGTCGAATTCCCCACCAATATACACGATACTGCCGTTGACGAACATGGTATATATCATACCATTCAGGCCATCACCCGCTAGGCTGAACGAGCTGGTCTTGTTGACGCCGAAAATGTTGTTCATTCCCTTGGCGCTGTAGTTTCCTGCTGCAATGGTGATGTCCCCAGAAGTGGCAAGAGCTTTGATGTCCGCGCCAGGGCTCAGTGCGCTACCAGCCTTATCAATAGCCGACTTTGCAAAATCACTTCCATCTATGGACTTCTTCGCGGGGTCAAATTCAAATAAGCTATTCAGGCCACCAGCCGAGTCGAGAAGAGTAAACCCGACTCTATTTGCCACAGCTGTCACCTGTCCAGTCTGTCCGGAACTCGGGGCAAGTTTGATGGAAGGTCGGAATGAGTCGCTACCTGCGTCCATATAGCCAATGTATATCATATCATACTTGTCGAAGTTGTTGGTCTGAAAGACATCAGTCTGGAAAGCGGGTTCGCTCGAACCAGCGCTCATAGTACCAGTGACGCGAACTTGCCCACGGGAGGCGCAACTGTCGTCCTGAATGCAACCTGGCGTATAAATGTTGACGGAGTAGTTTCCGGATTCCTTGATGCGAGGGAAGAACTCTATAGATTCAGAGTCCGAGGAAGCTTTGGATCCATCAATCTTTAGAGTAAGATAGTTCGACACGCTTTGGCGAGAAGGAGTAACTTCCCAAGGCCCAGCCACAGTTGCCTTTGAGGCTGTGGACGAGGAGACGGCGCAATCGGGTTCATTGAAATCGTTAATGGCATAGGAGTAAATGTCGTCTTCGAAAAGCTTGATGCCTGTAAGTCCAGCGCCACTTCCATACCAGTCGGTTATATCAATCTGGAACATGTTCATGCCGATAACATTGACGAAAAAGAAATCCTGGAAGGGAACACTGGGATCATCCGACAACGGGCATTCCGAAGTACAAGACGAGTTGGCGCCAGTCGCAGGGTCAACGTAGGTGAAGTTCATGATGCCGTTGATCGGCATAGCAGTATACCGCCATGTCTTCGTTCCCCTTCCATCCTTATGCGTATTCCATAGTCGCAGTTTGGTAGGCTGGAATCCAAATCCAAAATCAGCCCTCCAGAATCCGCCTGCGTTGTCTGCGAGCAGCCATGTGTTGCCAGGGCCATCCGCGCCACCTTCCTTGCAAATAATGTTCTTAGGGTCGGCAAAGTCAGCGCTTGTCGCCGCAGGTCCAGATGTTATCTTGGCTTTAGCTATATTGATGATCTGCTGGTCTGGGTCGCTAATGACAGAGGCGTTTCCAAGTCCAGTGAAAGACCCCCCAAATATGATTTTGCCGGCTGAGGACTTTGTGATAGAGGTAACAGGGCCATTGAATCCAAGGAAAGGGAGATCTGTCCAGCCGTGGGTGCTGTTCAGTGAGGCAGCGTTCGTCGAGTTAGACGCTTTGAACTTTCCTCCAATGTACACTGTGTTGCTGGATTGGTCGCAGTATAATGCCGAAACTTGACCTGAGAGTCCGGGAACTGGTGTGACCGTTGAAGTATTAGGGTTGAACAATGCAATTCCCTGAGATTCCACACCCCCCAAGCTGGTGAAGTTGCCTGCTACTACCACATTTGATACGCTACCGTCCTTCGAGACGAGTGGGCACATGGACTGGATGCTAGCATCTGAGGATGCAACTGATGCGAACCCTCCATCCGGGAAACGGGCTAGAACTGATTCGGCACCATTTGACGAAGACCCAACCTCACTCTGCCCTTCATATTGGTATAATGAAATGCCATCAAAATCGCCAGCTATACCGACGCGGCCAAACTGCGAGAGGTCGAGGTTCGGTGATGGTATGGGGTTGAATGTAAACGCTTGAGATAGTTGGGAGAACGAGGCCAAGGCGAGGCACAATTGCGACAAACGAAGCTGCTCCCCAGCTGCTCGACTCACTAACGATGGAAACTTCATCGCTAGAGCCAAGAGCGTGGGCTCTTATGGGAAATATATAGTGGTGCCCTCGATCAGGACTTGATGTCGAAATTAGGTACGGTGGGTCGGGATTATGTCGAGGTTGAAACTGGAGTAAACACGGGCATCAATCCATCTGTGTATCCTCCAGTGGGCCTCAAACAACTGTAACTTCTTCGGGGTATTTCGTAATTCGCCTGGTGTGCTTCTGTGAATGAGCGTGGTGTTGATGAGTGACGTGGAGAGGCTGGTTAGGAGATGAGGTGGAAAGGATCTGACCCAGGTCGCGACTTCGCTTATTCCGTGATTGGGTAGGCGGGTGTTTTGCAACAACTACACGAGAAGGTTGGGAACTTCATGTCTGACGACAACCTCAGGCGGGCTGGGATCAGTACATAATTTATTATGGTCTAAGATTCACAGTATATTGCTACATTCATAGGACATTATCTTTGTTTGACTTCGACGATTGCTGCCGCTCACATTTCAAGCCTCACTTCGTCTCTATACTTTTATTCTTGAAGCTAAGGGGTCCAGCCGTTCAGGTACGAAAAGGTACCAAAATTCCAGAGCAACTTAAGGGTCCAGTCCCTTTCTCCCATTTCCCTGAAAATAAAAGCTTTCTGTTTCCTGTGAACAGAACAGGAGTAATAATTGAAAATTATAGCGACCTAATTTCGAATCAAACAGAAAGGGGTGATTGGGCCTTCAGGGATGTCTCAAGTTTCATTATTGCCTCCCTCATGTGTCGAAGTTTACAGAACGTATGGACAGTACAACTTCAAATTAACCATATTTTATGGAGGTCATGACTCGAATGGTTAAAAATGCGATGGCTAGAATACATATTATTGAGATTCTGCTCTTTATATTATTCCAAACAGCACTGGTCTGATAACCTCGGTGAACCACGCGTAGTTTCAACTCCACGAATTCTTAGGGGGTTTTTGAACACTATCCAATGGCCCTGATCTCTTCATAGAGGGTGAAAGGGATGTCCCGTGAAGGACTTAGTACCGTGCTATTGTTGACAGGCGGCATTCTTTCATCATAGGGCTGGTCGTAGTGCTGGCAGGAGGGTAGCCATCTGGAACATCATTCCGGGCTGAGATGCGTTGCCTGGTCTTCCAGCCCATACGGAGTCCTGGAGGGTGTCGTCCCCAATGACCGAACATCTCCTTTTTCTGCTTGTTACATCTGAGGCGCTGCAAGGTCAGCCTTCGGGGCAGGATATGTTAGACTTTCCCTGCAATCAAATTCATTTCCCGGACCCAAATATGCTTGACAAGATGCTCTTAACAACAGGTTTCTTTTGCTTGGCCTTTGGTTCTTCGGTTCCCCCTGTTCTGGTCTTATAATCTCTTGGGCTTTCATAATCCTTCTGTGACCCGGCCCACATGCCCTTCTTTTTGGACTTCGCCCAAGCCTCAATGCTCCTGTAATTATCCTCCTTATTTCCAAACTCTGCGCCGGATTTCGCCTCATATACCGTCGCGAGTCCTGCTTTCAACATCTCTCGTCCAACGTCGCGTCTAAAGAGGCCATTTCGGACATAGACCGTGGCTACCAGACGGTCGTACTGATCGCGTTTATAGATATGAACTCGTACCCTCCGGCCCAATATATATGACCTGAGCCAGGCAAGAGCTTCTCCGGAATATGGCTGTGCTGTTTTACCGAAATGAGCCGCCTCGGGCGCGTCGACGCCGGCAATGCGAACAGCAATCTACAATTTGTTAATATAATTAAACTAGACGCGGATAGTATACTTACGGTGTGTTTTCTCAAATCAGCTGCCTTCTCCGGGACTTTTCGCAGCCAGCCCCAACCTGCCAATCTACCTCCAGGTGTATGGAACAGGTGAAAGTTATCGCCATCTCCGACCCTCGTCACAGTCCCGAACAGACTCCTCTTCCTGAAGAATGCGGGTTGTACATGAGTCGCATCGGGGATCCGCCGTAGGTATAGTCGGTAGACGCGAACGCTCAACAGGATTGTTGCCGTCAACAAGACAGTTGGGACCACCGTTTCCGGGTTGGCATAGTTAGACCAATTGGTGGCATTGAGAGTATCAGCCCAGGCGATCTGTTGCTTCTTGTTGCTATCTTCGTTTCCGGCGTCCGAAGACCAGGGCGGCCATCGCATTGCGGTGGATTGTTAGCTTTAAGTGCAACAGAAGCTTGTGTGGATATATGCTCGCGACGGACAAAGGAGGTATTGGCGGGGTTCCAAGCTAGTAGTCCTTGGCGTCTTCTCCATGACCCTACAAGATATAAACTCAACACAACGCATGTAAGATATATTTCCGGTTTGATACTACTCGTTATCACAGACTTGCACTATATCTCATTTTATATGTTCGGGTTCGAATTAAGCTTAAATAACCTAGTGTTTGTCTCCCGAATTTCTATTGCCCAGCCAACCATCTACCTGGGTCTCAATCTACTGGAAGGGGCACTCGATTGAAAGATGGATATTGTTTGATTTCTAGCCTTTAAAAAAGAGGGTCCATACCCTATGACGCGCTCAGTTCCCCTGCACTTTGAATGTCCGGCCACTAGCAGTCTTGCGCTCCTTTTCCTCGTTCTCTGGACGTGCACGTCGTAATACCTGGAGGAAGTCGGCCGTCCGTCTACGCATTCTCGAGTGAATATATGCCTAGAGAAATCAGTACATAGAAACTAGTGAAACTTTTTCGTGTGGCCTTCATACCTTGGAAGCTTTGATGTGGTAGTGGAAGTAGTCACGGAAGGTTTGAATGTGCGAAATAACCTCGTCTCGTCGCTGTTTCGTAAGATGCCTGGGGAACAGAACTAGGATAGTCAGATTTAATAGCATAGGTACAACAGTGATATACATACCAAATGTAACGTAGCCAATCTCACCCGTGCCGGAGTCCTTTACTCCTGGAACACCTTGGAGCTCGAGAGGGGGGTCCGTCCTGTACAGTACTTGCGGCGCATTCTGTATCGCCCTTCGTCTGGCGTCAACAAACTCCTGTATGAATACCTTGCCAAACACTCTGTCCGTCTCTTCCCTGAATACAGTGCTAAAAATGACAGTGACTCTGTCGTGGCTGGCTTTGATATAAATAGCCTCCTCCTCGCGGTAGTGGATAGCTTTAACCTCACCACCCTCCCGTACGCCCTGCGGAGCTTCTTCGGATGTAAATTTAGATGATTCCTCGTGGAGAGCGTGATGTTCCTCGAAAGCTTGCTCGAATGGTGCAGCCACGGCGTTGCGCTTCAGTAGCGAAATGCTTCGAATCAATGCATCCCGTTCGCCTGTCAATTGAAATGTTAGCTTCAAATATTCGTCGTTATTTGAGCATATTTCAAACCCTGATCTTTCGGCAGGTTGTCCAAGTCCACCTGGACTGAAAAGTCGTATCCATTCTCTGGTGGAACGACGTAAGACCCATACTCTCGTTCCAGGACCTTTGTTGCACCGTGTTTGACAAGCTCGTCGTAGCACTTAATCTGGAGAGATACTAGAATTTTGGACTTTGATTCAGGTGTAGAGACATGGAAAGTAACTCCATCGAAGTCGGAGACTGTCTGGTCGATCGAAGCTGGAGGGGCACTGTCTGACAGTTAGCCTGTGCATTGGTTGAGAGGGCCGCAACTACCACCATACCCTGAGAAGCGCTCGGTGAGCACAGATTGTATATAGACATTCTGATAGTCTAGGAGGAGCATTTTGACTGAGGCCGCCCAAGGATCCGACTGGAGAAACTGCTAAGCTCGTAACCTTGGACGTACTGATACGTCAAGCTGTAGTGAGTTTGGTGGTGACGAATGTGGGCCCCGCAATCGATGGCTGGCTGATTGCGGGTGGTTGTTGCCTCAGGTTGTAACAAGGTACTGATAACGATAAAGAAATCGAAAAGCCGCAAAAATAAATCTGGAAGAAGACAATATCTTTTGCGCCGAGCAGAAAATATGGTCAAATCATACTTGTAAGAGAAACTTTCCCCGATATTGATTCTGAGGCATTGCTGACCCTTTTAGGAAATATGAGCATGCGAGGACCTTCGGGCTCATTACTTCAAGCCATGCGAACGCAGTCTGGACTCTCGGCGACAATTCGTCAAGCAGCGCCCGGAACACTGGGGCTGGTCGAGCTGTTGTCGCAGCAAACGAAGAAGTGCTTTGCTGGGATGTGAAAAAGGGAGAGCTTTTGAGCCGCTGGAAAGCCAGTGACTGCAAATCACAGGTGACTGTAATTGCACAAAGCAAGACGGATCGCGACATTTTTGCTGTTGGTTACGAAGATGGCAGCATCAGGGTATGGGATTCCAAAATTGCCACAGTTATTGTCAGTTTCAATGGGCATAAGTCAGCGATCACAAAGCTTGCTTTCGACAAGTCTGGCGTGAGGCTGGCAAGTGGATCGAGAGATACAGATGTTATCGTCTGGGACTTGATCGCTGAGGTTGGGCTGTTCAAACTGAGAGGCCACAAGGACCAAATTACTGGACTGGAATTTCTGCAGCCGAGTGCACCAATAACTGCGGAGGACGATGAGATGGTCGTTGACACCGAAGATGGCGTATCGGAGGGTTTCCTTCTTACGACCGGCAAAGATTCTCTCGTGAAAATCTGGGATATCAGCTTGCAACACTGTATCGAGACACATGTCGCTCAGTCGAATGGAGAATGTTGGGCACTTGGGATCTCTCCTGATGGCAGCGGCTGCATAACTGCTGGCAATGATGGAGAGGTGAAAGTATGGTCGATCGACACCAATGGGCTATATGCACTCACAAAAAGTGTTGATAGGCCTCTCGACCGCCACTATCTCAATTCACGAGGACTTTTGCATAGGCAAGGGAAAGACAAAGCACTGGAAGTCACCTTCCACCCAAAACAGGATTTCTTTGCTGTCCATGGCTCCGAAAAGGCTGTAGAGATATGGAGAATCAGGTCACCTGAAGAAGTTAAGAAGAGCCTTGCCAGGAAACGTAAGAGGAGGCGCGAAAAGCTTATGGCGGCGGGTAAAGCCAGCGAAGAAAACCACGATAAGGCCGACGACGTATCAAGTGCTGATATCTCCGAGGTCTTTGTGCAATATGTCATCGTTAGAACTGGCGGTCGAGTTAAATCTGCCGACTGGATATCCGGCAAGTCGTCAAAAAGTGTTGAACTGCTCGTGTCGACAACAAACAACCAGCTTGAGATTTACAAGGTACCAACAAAGGAGAAGAAGGCTCAGGCTGAAGGAATGCCTGATTATACGAGGGCATTCTCAGTCGACCAACCTGGCCACCGAGTTGATATCAGAGCTTTGGCGCTGAGCTCTGACGACAGGATGCTGGCTTCGGCTTCAAATGGAAGTTTGAAGATTTGGAACGTGAAGACCAGGACTTGTATTCGAACTTTTGAATGCGGCTACGCTTTATGTTGCTCGTTCTTACCGGGTGATAAGATTGTGGTGGTGGGAACAAAGGCCGGCGAGCTAGAGCTGTTCGATGTTGCATCTGCAGTACTAATTGACACAGTCAAGGCACATGAGGGAGCAATTTGGACACTTCAAGTGCATCCTGACGGAAGGTCCGTCGTGTCTGGTAGCGCAGACAAGTCTGCAAAATTCTGGAACTTCGAAATCGTACAAGAAGAAATCCCCGGAACAAAGCGCACGACACCTAAACTACAGTTAGCACACACTCGAACCCTCAAGGTTGCCGACGACGTACTCAGTCTCAAATTCTCGCCAGATTCTCGCCTCTTGGCTGTTGCGCTCCTTGATAACACGGTCAAGGTGTTTTTCAACGACTCTCTCAAGCTCTTCCTAAACCTATACGGCCACAAACTACCTGTTTTGAATATGGATATCTCCTTCGACAGCAAGCTTATTGTAACTTGCTCTGCCGACAAAAATGTTCGACTATGGGGTCTAGATTTTGGTGATTGCCACAAGGCCTTCTTTGCCCATCAAGACAGTATTTTGCAGGTAGCATTCGTTCCGCACAACCAGGATGGAAATGGGCATCACTTCTTTAGCAGCAGCAAAGACAAGATGATCAAGTATTGGGATGGTGATAAATTCGAGCAAATTCAGAGGTTAGATGGACATCACGGTGAGATTTGGGCACTGGCTGTGAGCAGGACCGGGTCGTTCCTTGTTAGTGCCAGTCACGACAAGAGCATCCGCGTCTGGGAGCAGACTGATGAGCAAATCTTCCTCGAGGAAGAGAAGGATAAAGAGCTAGAGGAATTGTATGAGAGCACCCTGACAACCTTTCTAGAGAAGGACGGGGATGATGACGACGAAGCCGGCGATACAGGCAAGCAAACTATCGAAACACTCATGGCTGGAGAAAAGATCGTCGAGGCTCTTGAACTGGGCGTCGCGGACCACGAATTGATGGAAGAATATAAGCTGGAAAAGGCAGCCAACCCAAACACAGCTCCGCCGCCAAGGAATCCCCTTTATTTGGCTCTTGCCAACATCAGCGCCGAGCAGCATGTCATGACTGTCTTACAACGCATCAAGGCTGCGGCTCTTCAAGATGCTCTACTCGTCCTTCCTTTCTCTATCCTGCCACTTCTCTTCACCTTTTTGAACATCTTCACGGAAAGATCGATGAACATTCCATTGACCTGCCGGATATTATTCTCCATGTTGAAGATTCACCACAAGCAACTTGTTGCGAGCAAGTCTATGAAGGTCGTCCTCGATGGAGTACGAAATAACCTGAGGAAATCATTACAAAGACAAAAGGACCAGATGGGCTACAACCTTGCTGCACTCCGCATCGTTGGGACCCAGATCCAAGAACATGGCGTCACAGACTACATAGATGAAGAGACTTGGGAAGAGGCAGAAAACAAGAGGGAAAAGAAACGTGGGTTTGTCCATGTATCGTAAAAGTTGGGGTTTTATATGGCATAGAAAGATGCGTATGTAGGATTTGAAGCCGAGGCTATGATAGGAGTATGGGGAAGATAAATACCAGTTTAAATCTTATTTTTTCGTGCAAACAATAAATCCTCCTGGTACACATAATGATCCATAAATCCGACGCGAAATGAATCATTGTATGCGATAGCTGATATAGTTAGAAGAGCTCGACAACAAAGCATATCGCAATATGGGAGTTACCAGGCTAGAGTCAATACGACGTAGTCAATAAGTTACGATATTTATATTTCGTTAGTGTAGATTAACATAACTGATAAGGTAGGGAAGGTTGGCCCCACCAGCCGACGGGCCTCGGCAATCGATCAGTCCGTTATGTACGTCGTTAGTGCGGTTATTCTACAGATAAAGCCGCGGCAGCGCCGCTCCTTCAGTTTGGTAGATTTTTCTGTATATTCTCGAAATGGCAGGACGCGTGAGACAACCAATTGATGTGGCAGCGCTGGAGCGCTACATCTCCAAGTCCGTGCCGGAGATCAAAACTCCCATAGACCTCAAGCAGGTTCGTCCAGCGACAGATTTCCCCGCCACAATTGCCCCCATACTAAGCAGGTATTGCAGTTCGGTTTCGGCCAGTCGAACCCCACGTACCAAATCACTGGAAGCGATGGCCAGAAATTCGTTATCCGAAAGAAGCCTCCGGGAAAGCTGGTGTCCAAAACGGCTCACCAAGTCGAGCGAGAATATAGAGTGCTTCACGCCCTGGAGAAGACCGATGTGCCTGTGCCGAAAACATACTGTCTGTGCGAGGATGATAGTGTGATTGGCACCCCGTTCTATATTATGGAGTTCTTGGATGGGCGCATCATTGAGGATGCGGCCCTGCCGGGCGTGAGCCCAGCAGAGAGGACCGAGATGTGAGTGGCCATTATGAAACAGTTATGTTGGTTTGCCGTACTAATTTGAGATCGCAGGTGGCACGATGCTGTACGAACACTGGCGAAACTTCACAGAGTCAACATCAAGAGCGTCGGACTCGAGCAATTTGGCAGGGCGAATGGTTTCTACAGCCGACAGATCAGAACCCTCAGTACTATAATGGAGTCACAGGCGAAAGTAAAGGATATAGAAACCGGAAAAGCCGTTGGCCCCATACCGCATGTAGACGAGATGCTTGAGTATTTCAAAAACCCAAGCACTCAAGTGTCGGATAGGGGACACATCATTCACGGGGATTATAAGATAGACAACATGGTCTTCCATAAAACCGAGCCCAGAGTCATCGGCGTCTTAGAGTGGGTTTCCCATGCTATTAAGTTATACTACGCTGACAACAGAAACCTAGTTGGGAGATGTCAACCATCGGTCACCCTCTCTCTGATGTCGTCAACTTGACAATGCCATTCATGGATGGCCCAACCAAGCACAAGGGGTTTGTTGCCGGCGCCACCCCGGGCCTACCAACGAAGGACCAAGTCATATCTTGGTACGCAGAGATCTCGGGTTACAACCCGGAGCCAGATCTTCTGTGGGGTGCCGCGTTCGGAATGTACAGAAGCTCTGTCATCATGCAAGGCATCGCTGCGCGATATGCTGTTAGGCAGGCGAGCAGTGCGAACGCGAAGGATTATGCGGCCTTGATGGTGCCATTCGGCGAGCAGGCGTATAGGATATTCCAGCAAGCAAATGGAGCTAAGCGTTCGAAGGCAAACCTGTAGATAGGCTACCATGAAAAGGCATGGGGGGGTTCCAATTTTTGCAATTCATCGGAATGAAGGATAGGATTTATTGAATAACTGAATTTCACTATCATATGAAAGGCTAAATGCAGTGCTAGCCACCTGTGTGACACAAAGAGTATTCCCAATCCCCATATATTCTATCAACTAGTACCAGTAGCCATACGGTGGTATGTGTATCCTAACGAATACGATCCAACTTCGCACGGTTCATTGCAATCTGGTCATCCACACGATCACCCTTCACGCCAACCCGCCTAATAAGGTCGTCCTGCTCATCAAGCTCCTTACCCGTCGCCTGCGCAAGCAAATTAAGCCTTTGAGCAGCACCGTGCAGCTCGCCAAGATTGCCTTCGATTTCATCCTCCATCATATCATCCTCACTGTCCGCCTCAAACTGATACTTCGCACGCTCCGCCAGGCTCGCCTTGGCCGGCGCCTTCGCTTTATATCCCCTGTCTCCTGGCTGCATCTCTTTGAATGCACCCTCCATCCGTTGACCTGAGCTAAAGGCTGCCTGGCGCGTGGCCTCACGTTGGTCCCTTTCAGCATGGTGCTTGTCCAAGATATTTTGGTCACGGGCAGCCTTGCGGGATTGCGAAGTAAATGGGTTGGCCACATGCATGGCGAACATACTCTTGTTGAGAGTCTTCAGCTCGCGGGTTCGCTCCTCGGCAATACGGTTGTGGTTTGCAGCGAGATCGAGGTTCTTCTCTGTGTTGTGGATACGTTCTCCTTGGGCACCGAGACGAGCGAGGGTTCCACGTCCGGTCTCTTCGGCCTGGGATGCCATGCGGAGTGCGTTTCGGGTCGATGAGACATCCTCTTGCTTCATGAAACGGATTTCTTGTTTGGTCGCCTCCACATCCTCCTCCTCTTCTTCTTCGGCAGTTAATTGCCTGTCACCGTATGCACCATAGCCACTGTTGGCTCCAGCGTCGTAGCCGCCGCCAGGCTGAGCATTCTCCGGTGGTACGCTCTGTTTCTTCGCATTTCTGTCTTTGGCATCTCCAAATAGCGCATTTCTGTTGTCTTCAGTTGTAGCTGTGTCGGCACTGTCCGATCGTCCTAATCCACCATAACCGCCTGCGCCACGCGATTGTACCAACGGAGCCCCGCCGTATGGGCTGCTTGTGTTATCGTAGAGGTTCGAGCCATAGCCATTGGCACTTCCGTATCGCTCAGCGCCATACGCTGGAGGTGCTGTTTCCGTAGAAGTTGTGGATGCTGCATAAGAGTTGCTCCTCCCGGGCGCTGGTCCGTTGGGCAGGCCTCCGTATTGTGACCGCTGGCTGCCGGCACCGCTGCTGGTCGAACCGCTTGATTGTTTCTCTTGTCCTGGCTTCGCACCGTAATTGGCATACTTGTTTGTATCGACAGCGTATGGATCTGGTGATTGTGTGGCCTGTGCATATGGGTTTACAGAGGGGGAGGGGCGCCCTGAGTTGTTGTTATCGGCCTCACGGCTTTCCTTCTTCTTGCCAAAGCCGAATTTCTTCATCGTTGCAACAGGGTATATCTCTTGAGTTTTCGGCCTTTCTTTTTGGCCTGGAATGATAGAATTCGTGAATCTTATGTTGATATCAGAGTACGACGGAGGCAAAGTTACGGGACTGTGGCTGATGTCTGACGTGTGTATGAGGACCGATTGTCGTTTCAGCCGATAGTATTGCCCCCTTTAGGATAAGCTCGGGGTCTGGAAGTAGTGCATTATTTGGTGGGGTTGCCGCCTAGTATGCCTTGCCGCCTGACTCACCGAAGCCAGTGCCACCTTGCGGATCAACTATAACACCAAGAGCTCCCAAAGGCGTCGAGGGAGCTATAACTTTTCGATTGCGTCTAGAAAATATCTTTATATTGATTTTCATAGCAATGACTTGCTGAACTCCCGCCCTATATCGTACCTAGCCATCAATAACACGAGGAACGAATAGCTTCCGACATCAATCTTTGTCTGAACGAACCGATAAGATTAAAATGGTTAAACGATTACACACACTGCCATATATACTTATTTCCAAACGAATAAAAACTTTGATAGCGCCGTGACGGGCTTCACCAGTCGTAACTTGACATCTACCATATTGAAAAGGCGGGGAATTTGTTATGGCATCTATATTCTCCTTTGATCCAGATCCGCCGACGATATCCTCTCCATGGCTCACTCCAGCGAACGGATCGCCCAAACCGGAGACTCCGGTTTCTCGTGGAGATTCACGAACACAAGATAGATCTTTGCTCCTCAGTTCGAAAGCATCGGTGGGAGCGGCGAATGGCACATCATTGCAGCCTGGGCATCTCTCGGACTACAATTTTACCAAACTCGACCCAGAACCGCAAACTGGACCCGCTGAGTACAAATTGCATCTTCTTTTACGTCCAAGGAGGAAATATACGTCTTTCAGCACAGGAACGCATACAACTGCTCCACCGCAGTCCAAAGTAGGAACTGGTGAACCAGCAACGGCTCCAACAAATCAGTCGAGACAACATCGGCTTACGCAGCTAACGACTCAATTACTATGGAGGCTACAGCAATCATCCCCTTACCATGCCTCATCCTCATCGACTAGCGAGCTTATCGTGCCACAGCTGCCAGAGGCGATGGCAACCCTCAACATCCAGACACGGCCAGGTAAATTATTAGCTGGATTGGAGTCGAGCCGCGGGGCACTTTATGAGATTGGTGTTTCAGATAGCGGTGTGCTTGTAGGTTTGGCTAAGGATGAAATGGATGAGAGTTTGACAAACCTCCGGGCTATGGCTGCCAGCTTGGGATGTGTTGTAGAAGTTACCAGAATGGTTGTAGTCGGCGAATGCGAATGGTCGTCTGCAGAACCGCCTATACATGAGCCGCTCGATCTCTCAAAGCCGTCAAGGGGCCACACAGAGGATAAACTCCGGAAAGAAAAACTTTGGGTAGCTGAGGCATTGGTAACACCAGATCTCAGTTTGGTCAGCAAGGATGCAGGTCGTGCGCTATATATCGGCTCGCCATCCAGTGCTGCAACGACTGGAGCTGGGCTACCAACAGACTCGAACATGAACATATCTCGCGGATCGTCTACGGAGCAATTGAGAATCACTTTGACTGGACCTACAATTTCAGGAAAATCTTCTCTCTTGGGGACTTTATCAACAGGTACTCTTGACAATGGTCGAGGTAAAAGCAGACTCAGCCTCCTGAAGCACCGCCACGAGCTAGCGTCTGGAATAACAAGTTCTGTGGCCCAAGAACTCGTTGGATACAAGACTTCTTCTTCTCCAGATATCGCAGCAGAAGTTATCAATTACGCAACTGGTAACGTAACCACATGGACTGATATACACGCCCAATCCGAGAATGGCCGACTTGTTTTTGTCTCCGATTCTGCCGGCCACCCTCGATATCGGCGAACCACCGTTCGCGGTCTGGTCGGTTGGGCTCCTCACTGGACCTTACTTTGCGTTGCTGGAGATGGTGGAACAAACACCCCTCAGGGGGTCGGAGGAACATCGTCTGCACAGGATATCATGGGCAGCACTTTAGGAGCTGGAATTGATTTATCAAAGGCACATCTTGATCTTTGCTTGCAACTAGAAAGGCCACTTGCAATCGTCATAACGAAGCTCGATATCGCCTCTCGGACTAGCTTAAGAGAAACATTGGGTAAGATCCTTTCGGCTATAAAGGCCGTTGGGAGAATCCCGATGATTCTTCCTCCAGATCAAACGAAGGGCATCATGGAGTCCGACCTTCAATCCATACCAGATAAAGATGCAGATACAGTGAAGAAAATTGTTGGCACACTAAACCCAGACAACCTTACAAAGGTGGTGCCTATAATCATGACGTCTGCCGCAAAAGGGACGGGAATACGAATGCTACACTCTCTTTTCTGCAGTTTGCCAGTTCCAAGCACCCCAACTTCGCATGACTACATAGGGGAGGTTCTGAACCCCGAGCAGCCCGCATGTTTGTTCCATATTGAAGATACGTTTGCTCTCCCAGCGGCATTTGCCATGCAAACATCTGTCAAAGATACACATTTAGAAGAGGGAACAGTGGTGGCCGGGCATCTCAGATTTGGCTCTATTTCAGTTGGAGACAATATCGTTGTTGGGCCATTTCCTGCAGACTCTGGGAGTGATGATGGGACTTTGTGGCCGCTATCGTCGTCAACTGGAGCAAGGCAACACGACTCAGAATTCGACCTTGGACGATCGGCATCTCATCCATCAGCTTCTGAGCTCGCTCAAGCAGCACGACGTGAAGCAGCTTCGGCATCCGCACCCCCTGGCGAATGGCACAATGCGCACATAGTCAGCATACGCAATCTTCGACTACCAGTACATAACCTGCAAGCTGGACAAGTTGGGACCATTGGCATCGTGTTCGATATACCAGAAGTGGAGAACCCGAGAGACCCCTTTGAGCGGCGACCAACCCAGGCACCCCGCCTTCGAAAAGGTATGGTTCTGGCTATCCCAAGCCACCATATGAAGGACACTGGGCTGTCTCTCCAGGCAGTAAGCAGGTTCACCGCTTCGTCCAAAGACGAAGATATCAATTCAATCACGATTGGCAGCCTTGTTGTCGTCTATATAGCGTCCATCAGGGCATCAGCCCGCGTAGTTAGGCTCATGCCGCATGCCCCAGCTTCCGAAAGGGGACAGAATATAGATGACGATGAATCAAACCTTTTCGGGGATGAGGATGACGATCCTGGGCCTCCTATATTTGGCTCAGATGGAGTCACCGACGTGACGCTTGAACTTATGACAACCAGGGAGTGGATCGAGTTGGGCTCCCAGGTTCTGATAATGCCTGGTGGCGGTCATGGCTTATACTATGGCTCGGAGAGGGGTGAGAAGGGTATTGCTGGACTAGAGGGGTTTGTTGGGAAGGTGGTAGAGGTTGTAGATTGGTGATATTTGCCATGTTGGTGTTGACGACATACTATGAATATATAACGTTTTGGTTTTGTTTACTTAATATTACATTTCTGTCTTGGGTTCTTCAGACTTTCTTGAATCTGTTATGGGTCCCGATGTGCACATGGGAGAATTCCACCCAACTAGCTCTGCGAGCCTCGGCCATTGAAACCACCGCTCTCCCACTTTGTAGCTCCTTCGGTTTGTCGATAGTTTGTGACATTATTCCCAACCCTCGTATGGTATCTCCTTTGTTCTACACCCAGGTTCCTCCGTTATGGCATAGATCATCCGATCCTCATAATTCCTGGTCCGACCACCTATGCCCGTACCAACCCATACACCAGCGTCCATGTCAACACAAACCCACTCAACCCATCAATCAACCCTCCTGTCCACAGCGTCCACCCACTAACAAAATACCTCGTCGTGTCCAGTTCCGCAGCAGCAGTCGGGCGCACACGGAATACGTACACCAGCGTGGAGGTGATGAAGGTGAGGAGGGCGTAGAAGAGGAAGCCAGGGTATGATTCGAGGCCGAGAATTCCGGCGGCAATGCCGAGCAAAGAGGCTGTGAGGTTGTGTAGGTTTGCAAGGGTCTGTACGCGCGTTAGATCACGAAGCTCGGGATCTGAAGCAGTTCTGCCTGGCGGGGGCGGATGAGGGTTACCTTAGTGTTATGCACGATGCAATCCGGCACCAGCGGATTGATCTGTAGTTCGCGCTCCGAGATCATCTTGAACAGTCGATTGGGACCTCTGAGGTCAGATGCCCGGCGGAGGAGACGTGTTCGGGATCGGAGGTGACTGTTGGGGCCGGAGTGCGAGGTATTCGTATGGTTTTGGTGTTGGTGGTATAGGAGTAAAGGTGACGTTAGGGTCGCGGCTGAGGCTACCGGAAGCGCGGATTGTGGTGCCGGCGCTAATTGGGTGGTGGCAGATCCGACGACGGCTGTGTCGTGATCGCCGGGTTGTGGGGTTGCGGGTGAGGATTGGCATCTCACTTTCTAGAATCTATATGCTAGTACTCTGGTACATACATAGAGTTATACTTTATCAAAAGCCTGATAATTGACTCGGTGATGCCGATATATGCAGGACTTATTATTTTATTGTAATCCGGGCTATTTTTCAATCAATTTTATTATATCATATAATTTACGAGTATTGTGCACCAGTGCCGTAGGCGCCGGTTTGTGACTCTGCCTGCCGTAAGTGGTCATGTATTTAAACCTGTAAACATATTACGGACGAAATCCAAACCTAGTAAACGCCCGTAACCACCCGTAGCAACTAAGTAGAATAGTAGTATAGATAGTATTTCTAATTAATATCACACAATACCTTTGGATATACAACGTTATGTGTAATGTTATCGTCACCTTCCGGAAGTAGAACGTGTAAGCTAGCTACGGATGACGTCCGCGACATTGCAACGTAGAATTGCCCGTGACTAAATGTAGGTGCCTATAAATCAACTCTAACAAACTTAAATAACTAGCCTTGAGACTTATTAATAGTCATTGCAAAACATAACTAGACTAGAAACTGTTTACAGGTAAGGATGTGTCATACTGACATTCGTTGCACTCAGTTTGCTATCAAACTCGAGAGCAAACTTAGAAATCTCCTCCTCAAACCTACAAGTCACTATACATATTTTGGATTGTCACACCAACAACAAGAGCAATACTACTCAATGATTGCTACAACCCTCTATGATTCATTACACGTCATTGCTCCTTAGTTACTGGGCCGATATGACCACATAGCATATCTCTACAACCCTCTATGATTCATTACATGACATCACTCCTTAGTTACTGGGCTAATACTACACATGACATATCTCTATCAACTAGAGGCCTAGGAACATGAACAATAGCTCCAAAAGCTTCTACAACTGTCTATGATTCATTACACGTCATCGCTCCTTAGTTACCCACAAGATTGGTTAAGTTATGACATAATCTGTCGATAGGGGTACTCTGACCTTGGACCTCCTTTTACTTCCTATAGGCTACGAACCTAAGAGATGGTTCTATGGGATTCTCTTACATCGACTACAGTTACCAAGCCTGGTAAGTCATGGAAAGTCTTGGAAAATGAGAGAACTACATTCCTTTAGCATAAATAGGATTGCCCTTTCCTTAAGAAAGGGCAAGCAGACAATACAGTAAATCGACTATCACATACTTCCACGTCTTTTCCAAGCTTCCAAGCATTGATCTTGTTACTCCTTGTTTCTGAAAAGTCAGTGAGGTGTTAACCCCTGACTTACCCCTGAGTTCCCAGACTCAACATTTGTTGCAACTTGTCTGAACCACTTCACTACATCACACACCTGATTGCTGCGTTGTGGAATAGTCTAAGCTATGACCCTTTGGCTCTTTTTCCTAAGACAGTGTGTTGTCTTAGTAAATTCATCCCTTCCTTGGGTGGCTAGATTCTCATATCTGGTGCACCCACCATTACACCTTGTCTGCTTCCAAGCTTCAACTATTTCTATAGCAGCACTTCGATACTACAATGGAGGACGACCAAGCTCCTACAACTACTGCTGAACAGCAGATGCAACAACTGTTTGCCTTTATACAAAATATAGCAAACAAACTTGAGAATTTGGAAAACACCTTTCAAGCCAACACTTCAGCAACACAATCCTCAACTCAGACACATCATACAGAGCTTCCCACAGCTCCTCTGGCTATGTCGGGTACCCCAGGTGCACTTCCTAAAGTGCAAACACCAGATTTATACCATGGAGACAGGAGGAAGTTGAAGGGATTTCTTATGCAACTGGACATCTACTTCACCCTCAGGCCTCATCAGTTCACCTCAGATATTCAGAAGATATATTTCGCTGCCAGCTACCTCCGTGGATCTGCATTCAACTTCTTTGAGCCATATCTTAGAAGACTTAGTGGCAACAACCAAAATACCACTACACCTTTGATTACCTCTTATGACCAGTTTCAAGAGGAACTTACCAGGACCTTTGGAGACATCAACGAAACTGCTACAGCAGAAAGAGAGCTACAGAAGCTATGTCAAAAGACCTCTGCTGCTCAGTATACAACAGAATTTAGGAGAATCACTTCTCACTTGACTTGGAATGAAGAAGCCTTAGTCTTCACTTACTACCAAGGGCTCAAGAGCTCTATTAAGGATGAACTCAGCAAAGAAGAACGCCCTACAACACTTCAAACACTTATAGAGAAAGCTGTCAGACTTGATGATAGGCTTTTTGAATGAAGAAAGGAGAAGAACCAAGACTGGCATCCAACAAGAAATTTCAACAATTACACCTCTACACCAACTGCTAAGGACTCAGCACCTGAACCTATGGACTTAGACACCTCTATAAAGAGATCTACAGCAAATCCAGCACCTCAGCCTACAAGAAGCCCTCAAAAACTGAAAAGGGGTAAACTTACTCCTCAAGAAAGAAAACACAGAATGGACAACAACCTTTGTTTATACTGTGGCAAAGGGGGACACAGAATTCAGGAGTGCTGATTCAAAACATATAGCAGCCTCAGACACAGTCATCTGTAATGGTGGGTGCACCAGATATGAGAATCTAGCCACCCAAGGAAGGGATGAATTTACTAAGACAACACACTGTCTTAGGAAACAGAGCCAAAGGGTTGTAGCTTAGACTATTCCACAACGCAGCAATCAGGTGTATGATGTAGTGAAGTGGTTCAGACAAGTTGCAACAAATGTTGAGTCTGGGAACTCAGGGGTAAGTCAGAGGTTAACACCTCACTGACTTTTCAGAAACAAGGAGTAACAAGATGAATGCTTGGAAGCTTGTAAAAGATGTGGAAGTATGTGATAGTCGATTTACTGTATTGTCTGCTTGCCCTTTCTTAAGGAAAGGGCAATCCTATTTATGCCAAAGGAGTGTAGTTCTCTCATTTTCCAAGACTTTCCATGACTAACCAGGCTTGGTAAATGTATTAGAAATCAAGTGCGACCCACAACTAGCTTGCTAATCATGTAGCGAATGTAAGAGAATCCCATAGAACCATCTCTTGGGTTCCTAGCCTATAGGAAGTGAAAAGGAGGTCCAAGGTCAGAGTACCTATAGACAAATTATGTCATAACTTAACCAATCTTGTGGGTAACTAAGGAGCAATGACGTGTAATGAATCATAGAGGGTTGTAGAAGCTTCTAGAGCTATCGTTCATGTTCCTAGGCCTCTAGTTGGTAGAGATATGCCATGTGGTAGTATTGGCCCACCCCCTTAAGGAGGAGATTTTCTTAATAACTTGTTCAATGAGTGTCCAAATGATATGCCGTGATGTATGTAGCATAAACAGATGTAGTAGAAGAGTTTGCAGCAATCGTTGAGTAGTATTGCTTCTGTTGTTGGTGTGATAAGCCAAGATATGTATGGTGACTTGTAGGTTTGAGGAGGAGATTTCTAAGTTTGCTCTTGAGTTTGATAGCAAACTGAGTGCAACAAATGTCAGTATGACAAACATGGCGACATTAGGTTGCCATTCTTTTCAATACGGTCTGCTATTTTTATGTGTCTACTAGAAGACATGGTAAGCAGCGCAACCTGCTCGACAATTAAGTGGGCATCACCCTACTTAAGTAAGCAATTCCTTAATCAGCAAGACCTAAGGGACTAGGCCTTTTGGAGGAGGACCTAGTGTTACGGCTACGGTAACGTGACGTCATGGTTACAGGACCAGGGCCTAGTAACGTGACATGTGAGTCACAGGGGGCAAGCGGGGTAGGCTGCCATGTGATGGGGCTAATGGATAGTTGCAGAAACTAGTGGATATTGGATAGTTGAGCTATCCACGAACTATCCTGAATATCTAGCTATCCGCCAACTATCCAGATTACCCATGAGGCACGACGCCACTATATAAGTAGATAGTATTTCCTTAGATAGGAGCTTCGTGCTCAACTCAATATAGTATTCTTTACAATACTGTAACGTGTTACTTGGAAAGCCTTTGTGTCTAATCCCCTGCCTCCTCTGTCAAGTCAACCTTACGCAAGAAACCTCTGTGTCTTCTATCGTTTAGAAGTCAGCGTTACACTGATTCTCTATACTGCTTTGTATAATATGAACATTGCCACATTAAGTGACCATTTTGTTGGTATGTTGCTAAAGGATTCCTATCATGTTGCCAAATCCATGAAGTTCGTTTATGACGCCCTGATTTTGATGTAACTGACAGTACTATAGTACTATTAGAATCTAGTTGCGAGGAGAGTGACAATTCAGTATCGTCTTGAAAAACATCGCTATTAATGAGTGACAAGGCGTTTGACTCTGCATTTGTTAAAGGCATTGACGTTGAATTGTTAATAGTACTATTAAAGCAGAGTTTTCAAATACCCCTAATGTGCATGTATAACGAAAGTGCCAAACAAGTGAAAGTGCCAAAATCATGCGGTGACCAACCCCCCCAACTAAATGTTAAATTCCTCCACAACAAAACATGCGCCATAAAAATGATGAAAGCAAATTAGTGCTAGCTATCCAAGCTATGCAAAGCAACCCAAATTTGTGCCTTCGAGTTGCAGCTAGGATCTATTCTGTAGACCACTGCAAGCTACGTCACCGTTTACAAGGCATACCTTCACAACGCAATATCCAAGCCAACATACAGAAATTAAGTAACCTAAAGGAATCAGTTCTTGTTCAGTATATACTTGAATTAGCTTCCTCCTCAGTTGTCTATTGTTGAAGATATGGCAAATCGACTACTTGCAACACGCCACGCGCCACGCGTCGGGTCACATTAGGCTTTAAACTTTGTTAAGTGCCATAAAGAGCTCCGGACACACTTCTAGTGAAAATATGACTACCAGAGGGCTAAGTGCGAAGATCCAGAGGTCATTCATGGCTGTTTAAGCTTGTATGGAACACAATTCTAAAGTACGGCATCAACAATGCAGATATCTACAACTTTGATGAGACTGGGTTTATGATAGGCGTCATCTCAACTGCAATGGTATAACGAGCTCAGACGGGCGGGCAAAGGCAAAAAAGGTGCAACCTGGCAATCGGGAATGGGTTACAGTAATCCAAGGCGTTAGTTCTCAAGGTTGGGCAGTGCCGCCATTTCTTATTGTGGCATGTAAAAACCACCTTGCATCTTGGTATGAGAATAGCGGATTTCTAGCAGATTGGGTAATTGCTGTTACTGCAAATGGCTGTACTACAAACGAGAGAGGTATGGATTGGATTTAGCATTTTGAGAAGCACACAAAGCCCCAGACTGTTGGTGGTTATCGCTTGTTAGTCCTTGATGGTCATGAGAGCCACCACTTAGACAAGTTTGAGGAGTACTGCAAAGAACACAACATTATTATGCTTTATATGCCTGCCCACTCTTTCCATATACTCCAACCACTTGATGTTGGTTGTTTTGGCCCATTAAAGAGAGCTTATGGTCGGCAAATTGAAGATATGATACGGGCTCATATTATTGACTTCTTTCCTGCCTTCCACGCTACATTTAATCGTTGTGACCAAACTTTTCGCTTCGCTCAAGGTTGGAGTAAGCTGGGCTTCTTCCATTTAGCCCTGAGAGTGTAATATCTACACTTGACCTTAGGTTTAAGACGCTAACACCTCCAACCTCTCGCCTAAGCACCTCTCAACCATGGGTTTCTCAGACACCAAATAACCCAACTGAAGCTGTATCACAGTCTACTTTCATTAAAAACCGAATTGCGCATCATCAAAATGGCTCTCCAACCTCAATCTATGCAGCTGTTGACCAGTTTACAAAGGGTGCATCGCAAATAATGCATCAAGTACCATTGTTAAAAGCAGAGAACCAAAACCTGCAACAGATGAAGTGCTAAGCAAGCGCCGAAGAGCAAAAAAAACACGACTACAGCAAGGAGGATCACTTAGTCAACAGGTAGCACAGGAGCTACAGGACGAGAGGGACGTTGTGCAGCAAGTAGAGCAAGAAATAAGGGCAAGTAGTGGTCGGAAGCCAAGGGAAGAAACCAATGCACGTGTAAGGATGCCTCCGCCCTCAGTGACGGAAGGGATCTGAGTCGGACAGGTTATGGTCATGTGGGGAGAGTTAGGGCAGGTTAGCCGAGTCGGACCCATTTCAGGTACTTAAGGGGATTGACCCAACAGGGTTCCTCATCATTTTTTTTGTATCCTTTGTAGTAGACCTATAGGATAGCATCCGTTTAGCCTCCGACTCGCACTCCCATATGCTATTACTGTGAGCTGGGTGCCCTGTGTCCTTACAGCACGTCGCTGTGGCAAGTGTGGTGAGACTGGACACAATGCGCGGACTTGTCAGATTGTAATAGACACGTCTGAGGAAGAGGACTCCGAGTAGTTTTAATTAATTTATATTGTTGTGGTGGATTTATCGCAATTCTTATGGGGTAGTCGCGATATTTTGGCACTTTCGTTATACATGCACGTTATATTATAGGTGACATACTTATTCTCATCATCATTTACTATCACGTGTGTAATAATTAGTCATATAGGTCTTGGCAATATATTGCTATATATTGCCATATGATATTGCCGTATTGTATTACAGTCATATGGCACAAGGCCATATTGTATTGCCAAGGCCCATAACGTGGTTGTACACTGAGTCGTGAATGTCACCGAGTCGTGAAACTTTTTTATACCCACCACTGTAAGGTATAATTAAACAACCACAACATGTATTAAAACTAAAACTATTCAGAATCTGATGAGCTAAGTACTTCTATGACCTCCTGACAAGTTCGTGCATTATGGCCAGCCCCCCCGCAAGTGCCACAATGTCGTACACCTGGTTGCCCCTCATTCCTACCAACCCCTCCAGAGCGCTTCTCGCGATTTATTTGCTCCATAACTGCCCTTTGGGACAAATCATCATGTGCATCCCCTACAGAAAGTGCACACCCTTGACGGACACGAGACTTTTTAGCCCTCCGGCGTTTGCTAAGAGCTTCATTTGCTGCTCGAAGGGTGCGGACTTCAGCTGACAATAAAGTCATTTCATGTGCCAAAATCTCTGTCCCTTTAGCTAATGCAGTAACAGTAGCAAAAATGGGGGTTGGCGAGCTTCCTTGGTGCCGTGCAATGCGATTTTTAACTAGAGTAGTCTGTGAGAGAGCATCTATTGGGTTGCGAGGCGTTTGAGAAACCCAAGGATCAGCGTCTATAGAGGGGGGTCCTGTAGGTGTAGGAGTCCGCAACTTGACATCTAGCTTTGAAATGATTACTTGCGGATCAAAGGGCACTAAACCAGCTCCGCGAAATCCAGCTTTGGCGTTTTGAGTTGTTATTGACTGGTTATAAGCTGCGTGGAAAGCTATAAAAAACTCAACCTTTGTAATATGGTTTATATGAGCCTTAATAAAGGTCTCAATTTGACGCCCATACATGCGTTTAAGAACACTAAAGCACCCAACATCAAGTGGCTGAGTTAGGTGAGATGAGTGAGGAGGTAGACAGAGAGTTATGATGTTGTTTGCTTTGCAATATTCCTGAAACGCAGCTGATTCGTGACTTTCATGCCCGTCTAAAACCAACATCCGATATGGTCCTTTTGTACGACTGCAAGTATGTTTATCGAAGTGATGAAGCCATTCTAGACCTGTCTCGTTGTTGGTCCATCCATTGCTTGTTGGTTTAATTACCCAATTGTGAGGAAGGCCGCCTTCAGTATACCAACTTGAAAGGTGACATTTCCCTTGAATGTAACGCTGACTTCTAAACGATAGAAGACACAGAGGTTCTCTTGCGTAAAGGTTTACTTATCAGAGGAGGCAGGGGATCAGACACAAAGGCTTCAAGTAACACGTTACTAGTATATAACAAATACTGTATTGAGTTGAGCACGAAGCTCCTATCTAAGGAAATACTATCTACTTATATAGTGGCGTCGTGCCTAGTGGACTCCTGGGAACTCACTCGAGTCCTCGGAGTCCTGGACTCTTAGGATTCTTCTCATCATCCTGCGAGTCCGTCACGTGATACTTTCGGAACTACTATTCCCCGCTGCCCCTCCAGGTACCAGGGCCGGTCTCATGCGACCTCCCTCCTTCCTGTCCTGTAGTTGGCCAGCCTTCTTGTTCCGTCGTAACATTGAACTACTAAAAACGGAGGGATACTCCCGCCTTCAGCATTCACACAAACAATTGCTGTAGCCCATTCCCGATTGCCAGGCTGAACTGCCTTGCCTCTGCCACGTCGATCGGCGCGCGTAACAACTAAAGCTGAGCTAATAACGCCCATCATGAAGCCCGTCTCGTCAAAGTTGTAGAAATCGCAGTCTTGGATGCCGTACTTTGCTCTCATGTTCTGCACAAGTTGAAACCACGCTCCAATAAGCTCAGGATCTTCGCACAAGGCTCTTTGAAAGTCATAAACGCGATTAAAACGCGTCTTTAACTCGGGGCGGTGTTGTATAAATCGATATGCCCACCGCGTCCCAACGTGCTTTCCCCCACGCGATTCAAGGATATAATTTGCCATATCCTCCACACTAGCAGGCCGAGGCGCAAATCCTCTTGCATCCATATCCAATATATTTCGAATAATCACTTCCTCTTCTAGCTCAGTCAATTTAAGACTATTGGATTTGGTTTCGCGTCGAGAAGGTCGGCCGGCCATTCTATCAGTAAGCGTAGAATAAGGCACTTTATATAGTATTGATGCAGACCTGCGATTAAGCGATTTACATGTTTGAAGAGCCTCAATAGCTAGAATAATTCGCGCTTCTTGGGTTTGGATTTCCATTGGTAGTTGTGGAGGAAACGCGTGTTGAAGTTCGTAGGTAGCTAAGTAGGGAAAAGTTCACGACTCGGCGACATTCACGACTCGGTGTACAACCACGTTATTGCAATATATATTGCAATATACTGCCAAGACCAATATACTATTGGCAACACTGACCTCCGTTAGCTAAAGTCTTTGTCAGTGGTAGACTAACGAAGCCGTATAAAAGGTTGGAATTATGAAGTTGGCTTGCGTCCACAAACCTCTATAGTCTATCTATAGCCCCTATACCCGTCTTCGGCGCAATGTGAATACACAGTCTTTCTTTTTGTAAAGATGGAAACGAACGCCGTTGAAAATGAAACCATGTAAACTCCTATAGAGAGGAGATTTGGGGACAATATCCCATTTACCCATCACTCAGCCTTCCTGAAACGCCCAAATAACACCCCATAAAAAAATCAAATCAAATGATGAAGAAACCTCCCTCAAATAACCTCATTCCTCTCCCACCCCGTCCCCTTGTATTCTCCATTCTTAATCCCCTTCCCCGGATGCGGCTTCCCGGCATCAAAATACGTGCTCACAAATGGATTCGGATCCTCCTCCTGCTTCAGATTTCCCAGCGTGTGGTTCACCTCCCTGTGCTTCGCCTCGTCGGCGCGCACATACAAGATGAGGTCCTTCACCGTCCGCTTCCCCTCCGGCATCTTCCAGTACTCGATCGCAATATCAGGCGCCTGCAAGCCCTCCCACTTCGGCAGTTTCCCTGCCTCCAAGTCGGCAAGCACAAGCGAGTACGTCAGTACTGCCTCTTCCTCGAGGTACCCAACAAACCTGTGCGCGGTGCGGGGACTGATAAGGTACGCCACGAACATGGAGTTGAAGAAAACACCCTGCGCACCAAGACACATCAACCTCATAAACCACCCCGGCTCCGCCATCTTCAAGAACGTCAAGAGGTGCATGCGCTCATTGTACGCCTCCTCTAGCAACGTCTCGATCCACCCGTTATCCCTCTGCATCCTCCTCAAACTGCTCAGATGTCTCAGCATCCCCGCCACCATCCCGGGGACACCCGCCACGGACTCAAGGAAGAGGAAGCGGATCAGCCATTTGCGCTCAGACATCTTGTAAGGCTTCGTGGATTCCAAGGCTGTGGGATCAGAGGCGGTGGCGGCGCTGGTTACGTTGTGCGAGTAGCCCGTGGCGATGTCGGTGCCTTTGCGCAGCATGCGCATGAGGAAGAGCGCGAAGCGGTCCGACATGTCTTCAGGGTTGCGGTGCTCGAAGCGGATATTGGTCGTCATTTGCTCCTCTGTGAATCTGGGGAGGAGGTTATGAGTCGTCACGTGAGCTGGGGGGTCGAGGGGGCTTACCCTGGGTGCTCCCATGCTGGGCGCGTAGTGCGGATGAGGTGGTGTTTTGGCTCTGGGAAGTATTTCTCCTCGAGCTGTGGCGGGGTAGTGGTGCTGAATTGCCTCTTTGAGAGGGGTTGTTGCTGCAGGCTTGGCCGGGCGGCGTGGTGCGGGGTTGTTCTGCCTGGTCTTGCTGCGAGACTCAGGTGGCGGGACTGCTGGGGGCTGCGCCCGTTGATGTTGTAGATTGGCGTGAGGCAGAGTCTTGATACTGCCATGGACATCTTGGGGAGCATAGCCCCGTGGGCTGCGAGCATGGGCGCTCGCGCCGCGATCATGTTTGTTGACATGACGTACGTGTGTGTGGAGTAGTAGTATCAACTAGCAGTATAGTAGTGAAGTGAACATGTAAAGGTGTAAAGACTTGAAGAATGGTGGCAATATAGAACCTACATGAGGCTCAAGAAGCTGAGACCAGGGTCTTATATATCAAAATACCGACAGCGGCAGGGCTGAGACCAAATTGACGCGATTGGGACAGGGGGCGCAAGGTACCCGAATAGGAGGCAATTGCATTGGCAGTGCACTACCTCTGAGTCAGATTCTCCGAATAAAATATTGCTATTTTCTACGGGAATAGTAGACGCCGAGTCATTAGAGGCTTTAGGAGGCTTGGGAGTCGCTGGATCCCGAGTTACTCCGGCTTACCTAATTGTGGTCGTTTGCGGCGGCCACGAACTTTGGTATATTTAAATATCTACGATCAAGACTCAACAATAGCAAAAAAACGATATATCTCCTCAACTAATTAAATAGTACTCTCCGCCTTATAACACGATACCAAACACCCCCATCCCTCCATAAAAAACCGCCCGTTTATGCCCCTATCTATCTCCCAAACCGCCGTTCTCATGGTGACGGGAATAACCGGAGCGACGGACCCAACTTGCTCCTGCCCCTCCGGCCGCCCACTTCGCCGCCGAGCCACCGGTCATGAGGCCAGCGATTTTCATTCAAGCTTTTATATCCCTTCCGATTTTCAAGATTTTCAAGCAGATATATGACTAATGGCAAGAAAACCATTCGGCGAAGCTCCACAGTAATACCGTAAATGCCCTCAAAGTGCCGCATCGCATGGTTATGTTGGATCCGCGGAATTATAGGATAGGGGCGATGCCGAATATAGATCCCTTCTCGGCGAGAGCTCTGGCCTGGCCCAGTTCACATTCGTCTATGCAAGCAACGTCGACAGTATAGCTGTTTTACGACATGTCTACAGTCGCGACAACGCGCATGCCACGCAGTTAAATCGCTTTCTGCACCATACCACATATGCAGTTCGTTTTGCAGCGCACCTTGGTATCTGTCCCACGCATCTTCCGACGCGGCATTCCCACGGCGCCATCCTTCGTGTCTCTGCAACTTGGCATATGAAGTAGCGGGGGGGAGAGAACGGTCATAATCAAACATTGGGAAAGAGCGGAAAAAGGCATCTAAGGGGGTCTCCGTATCCTGTTGGTGAATGTGAGAGTCTCGCAGATGCAGCTGTAGAGCTTCCTCGCTGCCGTAGTGACGATCGCAGGTTTCACAGTTAAAGGACCAGGAATGCGCTGGTGAATCCCGTAGGTGCTGTTGCAGCGCCTCTTCATCATTGAATGATCGATCGCAGTCATCACAGTCAAAGGATGGAGCGTGAACAGGAGAGTCGCTTAGGTGCTGCTGTAACGCCTGCTCGTTCCCGAAGGACCGATCGCAAGCCTCACAGTTGATGGACCAGGAATGCGCTGGTGAATCCCGCAGGTGCTGCTGTAACGCCTCTTTGCTATTGAAAGTTCGATCGCAGGTGAGCTGACAGGTGTGCGTCTAATAGTAGCCATCGAAACAGAGCCTGGCCCTACAAAGTCTAGTTCTATTGCAAAGCAGCCCTAGTAGCTTCATCGCCTGTAGGGGAATTTCGATAATAGAGCAACTATTCGTATACTGTAGTACTTTCTAACATATTGTTTCTAAACCTATACCAACGCTGGTAGCAAAACGTAACAGCTTGCTTCTAGTGTAGTAGGGGAGGCATGATAGCTATCATAGAGCCCTTTGAAATACACCTTTGTATCGCCCTCTAGACCTCCAAAATATAGCCCTAGACCTGAACATCTTTCATGCAACAGTAAGCGCAGTCTTCTAAGCATCTATTTCACCATTTTAGAAGGAGAATGTCTCGGTGTTATCCCGGATATACTCGTACTGCTCGCTCCGGAAGTTATCATGTATGATAACACGAGGAAAGAAACTGTCGCTCTGTATTTTTAATATTGGCCTTTTCTTACCAGCCCATTTGGGCCAGAAGTTGAGGCGACTGTCTACGTTAGGGTCTTTGTTATAAAGAAAGTTCAAGTAATAGTCCCCAAGTTGTTTTTCGGATACCAAAAACCTAGCCGTCCCGTGAGATGTGCCGAGGTAAGGAACGATAGTCTTAGACGAGTCGAGATATGACCACACAGGAACCTCAGGATTAGCCTCAGTCATGAGCTCAGCGGCCAAACGCCGAGTAAGGGCGAACGTGATATCACCGAGTATAGCCGCTAGACGCTTATATTGGTTGTATAATGTGTTTTTGAAGCCGGTGTTGAATGGACTTCCCAATCTTTGATCATCTGGATAATACTTTAGGAGAAGGTCAATGTCGGAGGAGCTAGCTTGCTCAAAATAGTCGACCAAGTAATCCTTTAGATGTAGCGTTGTCGAAATATTCCTTTGGTTGAAGGAGAAGACCGTGCCCTCATCCTCCTGACTGCCAATGATGATAGGAACGGCGTGATACAAGCCGTCCTTAGCAAGTCTATCTGGACTATCTGCAAGGACCACCCCATCAGGCCGAGGTAGATATGATAAGGCAGGTGAGCTATATGACATGATGCGAGTCACGGAATTGGAAGCGTCGAGGAAGGTATTGTATGGCAACTCACGGAGACACTCTAAAGTGTCCGGTTAGCCCTTGCACCCAGCCCGCTCAACCACATTGTCGTAGATATGCTGAGCCTTAGGGCCATCTACCCTGTCGGTCGACATGATGCTACCAGAATTCATGATCGCACCTTGAAAGAGGTGCTTGCCCTTGAACGTAGCATTTCCGTTAAATAGAAGCATCTGGTTAAAGACGGAGATAGATCCAGACGACTCGCCCCAGATGGTTACTTTCTCTGGGTCACCGCCAAAAGACTCGATGTTCTCGGCAACCCACTCAAGGCCCATGCGCTGGTCAAGAAGACCAAGGTTAGAGGCACCATCTGCGAGGATCTCCTTGCCCCCTAAGAAACCGAACCCAGCAACGCGATAGTTAACGGCGACATAGATAAACGGCTTCTGCGCTTGAGCACCGTAGGCAAGCAGTTTGTCCACAACCTCATTGTACTTCTTCGAGTCGCTATTCACATAGCCAAAGCCAAAAAGCCCGAAGAGTACCGGAAGTTTGTCCTCCGCTTTGGTACCCTTGGTTCGTCGTACGCTGATAGTCAAACAGTCCTCTTGGGTCTTGCCCTCCTCAACCTCTAAGAAAGGCGCGTTACGAAACTCCTCCGGGATTGAAGGGGCTCCATCAGGGAAGAGGGGCATCCGCGGACACGATGCGGCAGTGCCCGTGGCGTCGAATTCACCCAAGGACCGGGAGAGCCTTTGTGGGGGTCTAAGGCGCAGTGGCCCGACTGGAGGGTCAGCGTATGGAATCCCATTGAAGGTCTCAATGGAAGAAACGGATCCGATGACCGTGCCGAAGGAAAGAGTGACGGTCACCCTGTTGACGAAATCCTTCACAGTAGAAAGGGGGACTTGTAGCGGGGTTTGTAAGGCCAGAGCTGCTATTGGAAGATGGACAACCGTGAAGGCCACATTAAAGACTTTCATTTCGTGTCAGAGTATAAGTGCAAGGTGAAATTGTCGACTAAGGCAGGTAGCTAAGGTAGAGGGTACGTAGCTTATAGGTTCTCGGGATTTATATTCAAGAGGTCAAAGACAGTATTTATATTTCGAACCTCTCCTGGATTCTCAAGGCTGACATCAAGCTCGGGGCGCCGTTTTTGAGACATGGCACCATATGGCCAGCTGGTGTCTCGGTAATAACGGCTCGATACGCGGATATGCTATAGTCGAACCGTGTTCTTTATAGGTCAGTGTCTCTAAGGGAAGACCTAATAATAGTTTTAGCTACATAAAAAAGGGATACGCGATGTTACTAACGTCCCTCACATCGTGAAACATGACACAATGAGACACGGATTATTGTAGTATGATCGCTTCTGCCACCTAACTCTTCCGCACCAGAGGCGGCTGGTCACAATCGGGAGGGCGATCCGGAGGGGTATTGCCTATTTTGTTAGAATGGCAGGTTAAGCTAGACATGTCTCAGCTGGCTTGCGATTGATCGCAACCCACGGTGGGTAAAATGTCTGAGTCGTGAATCGCGGTAGTGGTCGGACTGGTTTGGACGACTGAGATCTTCGAATTATTTGTGAAGCTAAGACAAAAGGGCACATGCGCACGGAGGAACACAAATGTGATGTGCAATTCACTGAGAATCAGGGCCCATGCCAAATCTACGCACATCGGATTATGATGCGGTATTCATCCCTCCAAGAAGAAGGATAGCTCTCCACCAAGCAAGTGTAGCGCCTGCTGATCCAAGACAGCTGAGGACAAGCGCTAGCAAGTGAAGGGTTCACTCAGCTACACATTCAGATGAACGCCGTATCTCATTGGCCGTATCTCATTGGCCGTATCTCATTGGCTAAATAAGCGAGAGCCATACCGTGGAAATGGCCTCCGAGTAACAATTGAGGATAGGGTCGAACGGATCTAGCTGATCGAGCGGTAGCGCCATCCCGCCTTTCGCGCCACGGCAGCTCTTATTCTCACCTCACTCAGTCAAGGAACCCTGCAATAAAATAGAACTGCAAATAGAATTGCTATAAGATAAAATTGAAGTCAATTGCGGAGCTAAGCTATCTCGCTGAGGCTACGTAGAAACGAAGTGCTGTACGGAGGTCGTCCCCCCGATACTCTGATATATGCCTCGAATACTATAAACCTTTCTGTTTCTCACAAAACAGTGCATCTTGAAAACCATTAGCGGATCATAGTCGTAATATTAGAGTTATATAGTAGTACGTACCATGACGAGAATATGACAGTATGGATGGCGCCATGAGTATACAGATTGTTGGCAGTGATTCTCGCCGGATCTAAATAGCATTGCGTCGAGTGAGGATGATAGAATGCATGTCTGCATGCAGAATCAAGAGCACACGCTTCAATACACAAATGAAGTGTCCGGACATGAGCCAATCTTCTGTTCGGTGATTTCACGTCCCTAACATCTGGGTTTCTTGATTAGCACGCTAGGACTCATGGCAGCTAGTATAGTTGGACGTACGACGTGTATAATGAATATGATACTGCCTCCTGCCCAAGATGGCACTTCGATCTGCTCGCATATTAGAAAAGAAAGATAAGAGGGCCACATGAAAACATACTAGACTCTCCTCTCTGGAGGGTTGCTATCTGGGTCTGTAGACTTGCTGTCTGGGTCTGTTGACTTGCTATCTGGGTCCGTAGACTTGATGCAGTTGCTTCGCAGACGCGTTGTCCATTAGAGCTAACTTCTCTCTCCCCGACGCACCTTTCTCTCTCATTTTCGCAAGCTTCTATCTCAGCTGCGCAGTTTGTGGGTATAGGTATAGTGGCGAGCTCGTCCAGCTTTTTCAAGGACACATATGCATCATTGGGTTGGAGAGCGCTGGTCCCATCAGAGGTTATCCAGCACCTCCTCAATCGGGAGCTCCACGTACTTCCTTTGCATGAATCTTGTTGGGCGCACGCGGTGGCACACTCCTTAACGTTGGCGACGTTTGAGACGGCGGATCCGTCGAAGGGGTTCCAAAATGTGCCGCAATGTATCTCGACCACAGATCCGTCATCGAGGAAGCCTCTTTGGCCATTGAGAGACGGACAAACCTCACTCAATTCTGTTGGTAGAGGTTGCAGCTCGATCGCCGCTGCTGATAGAGCTGATAAAAGAGCAACGAACGAATGGAGGGCAAGAGACTTCATAGCGATTGTAAGGCTACGAGAGAGTAAGGGATAAAATATCGGAAACCAGGGACTGAAGCGTACCAATATTCAAAAGAAATTAAGGGGGGGAACATGAATTTTATAGGCAGCAATTGTGCTGGTGGTGTGACAAACATTTTTCTGGGGTGGAGGCATTGAAGGACAAAGATCGAGAGGATGATCCATGAAATGTGCAAAACCTATCTTTGCAGATGATCACCTTTACTCAACCGAAAGCTAGCTTTCTTTCGAGCTATACCTATTAGCGGACATGGACATCGGGACTTTACTCTTAGACTCCTATTGATCCCATGCCATTTCGTATTGGCCGCTATGTAACATTGGCATGTAGGGGATGCTGAAGCTATCACACTCTTTTAGTTAAATACGACAATGGCAGCTGGCATAATGACACGGTGTCGACCAGTAATCGGAAAAATTCAGAATCCAGATTCGTTTGAAGGAGAGACCGAAGTGCATCTCACCTCGAATACACAGGAAATGCCATGCAGATCTAGGAATCGCCCAGTAGGGAAGTTGCTTGCAACGGTCTCAGCGGTCCTGATTCGTATTTGTGAGGACAATCATTCTGAATTTGTAGTTAAACGCCGCAAAACACGCCATGAAAGACGCCGCGAACAACTCATCTGTCTCTATGCCGGGGAGCAAACTTTCCAATAAGTGAGATGGGCTACGGGAACTCATCACACTGCAACGTAACCACATTAGTCGATTTTTTCTAGTTAAGGAGAGGGTTGCTTGTTACACGCATCCGTTACAATGTCTCCCTGTCTCTCTTTGACCTCTGCACCTCAATCACAAACTACAAAAGTCCTATAGTTTGATGAGAAGGGTCGCATCGTGTCTTGCGAGTTTGGTCATAAGTTTTGTCGACGAAATTCTGGTGGACCACGTCATAGATCGATCTCAACCGTGTCTCCTGAGTTGACTGATTTGCCATGGACCACCCTAAAGGGTCTTGACTGATCGGCACATATATGCAGCCTCATATATGTGCCGATTGTTGAGTTACTCAAGAAGCCCCTACCACCAATCGTTAGAGTACATAACCCTGACTACCCCGTTTCTGTAATAAATACGAAAGTGACGGCTAAAATGAGACAATAAGATCGCGTCCACCAAAAAATTGAGATCTTGCCCGTTTTCCGTATAAAGAATACGCAAAATAATATTTGACGAGCTGAAGCAAGACAATGCGGATATAGCCCGCCAAAAATAAGTCTTAAGATCAGGGTTCACAAGTATGCGAAATAGTATGGAACAAGCTGAACTGAGACAATACGGGTATAGCCTACCAAAAAAGATGTCTGTCTTAGGATCAAGGGTTAAGAAGTAATGGTGCCCTGCCGCGCTTTATTCGACCTTCATGTCGTACTACCCGACTCACCTTGCAGGACACGAGAATGGGAGGGTCAAGCTAGGGGGCAGGTCAAGGCAGGAAGAAGCCCTATATAAACCTCGGTCATTTCATTGAATACTCATCATCTCTTCAAGTCGATACTACCCATTTAATTTCTCTTCACCATCGGGGCCATCATCGATGACCATGCCCAAGTTTAAGGGCGCTCTTATGTGGACTGTCCTGCTATCCGCTATCCAGAACGTTGCAAGTACACCGGAGCAACGGCTCTTGGGCGAGTTTCGCCGTTTCACTCTCAACGATATCGTTCCCTCACACGACCCAGTGTCGGGTCAGGTCAAATGTTGTCCCGAAGGTACGAGTTTTGATGGACACAGCTGTGCTCTCGGCATCCCGCAGTGTCACGAAGGCACTGTTCGGCGTGACGATTACTGTCTCTCGCTGCAAGATCCCATGTGCCACGGCGAAAGCCATTGGAATGGCAACACATGCGTTACCAATCATGAACCATTCTGTCCCGACCCGTATGTCTTGAACCGGGCAGTATGCGTTAGCGCTCAAGGGCCGCGCTGTCCGACGGACTTCCAACCCAGCGGCAGTGTTTGCGTGTCTGATCTAACGCCTTCGTGCTTGGATGATGGCTATTTCAATGGTCAGACTTGTATCCATTCTGAAAGCCCGCAGTGTCCCCCAGGTGCAGTTCTATCTCACTCGGTGTGTATCAGCGAGGAGGACCCCTACTGCGCCAAACTCACGACGTTTGATAAGACCGTTCACAAGTGCGTCTCCATTGCGGGCCTGACATGCCCCCCTGGTACTATCTGCAAAGGGCGGCGCTGCATCTCCGAGGAGGAACCGTCCTGCCCTGAGGAAACGGTCCTAAACAAAACGACCGGTCGTTGTATCTCTTCAAGTCCTGCTCTTTGTACTGATGGCAGCCGGCCGGTCAATAACTTCTGCACTACAAGTGAAGACGCCACATGCTCTGATGGGAGCCAACTGGCTGTTGACCGGCTCTCGGGTAACGCCTTCTGCTGCCCTCCCAACATGGGCTGGGATAGTCAAATGTGTTTCCTGGAGCCAGACAATGGGCAGTGTCCTGAAGGAACCATTTTGGAGAATGGTCGCTGCAAGAGACCGGGTACGAGGGAGCCTGAGTGTTCGCCTGGCCTGTCATTTGAGGACCATCGCTGTGTCCACCGGGTGCCTGTTCCATGCCCACCAGGCTTTGCTCCAGAGGGCAACGTCTGTGTGTGGCGCGAGGATCCGAAATGCGACGCCTTCCTGGACTTGATCGACGGCGAGTGTGTGGCCACAGAGCATGTGGAATGCCCAGTAGGAACAGTCATGGAGAGCGGAATGTGTATCAGCAGCGAAACCCCTGGCTGTCCACCTGGGTCAACATGGGATGGATTCAATTGTGTCGTCGATGAACACGTGGAATGTCCTGAGAACTCGACTTGGGATGGATCACAGTGTGTGACGGGTGTGAACCCCAAGTGTCCCCCTCACACCGCCTTTGACGGTCACCAGTGCATCTTTGACATGGAATTTCCCGTATGCCCTGAAGGCAGTCGACTAAGTGAAGGCAGGTGCGTCACTGACATCCCTGTTGAGTGTCCAAATGGAGCTACGTTCAACGGCGAAGATTGTGTCAGTGGGGACATCCCCACATGCCCAGACAACACCCAGCTTGTCAGCAACCACTGCATCTCGAATGACAATCCTCTCTGTCCTCCTGGCTACGTGTGGAGAGCGGGCAATTGTGTTACAACCGAGACTAATCCCTGCCCTCCTGGCTACACCGTGAGTGGTAGCGAGTGTGTTTCGGAAGTTGACCCAGAATGCCCAGAGGGCTCAACCCGGAAGGGGGATGCATGTGTTGGCGACAAGCCACGATGCCCAGAGGCCACTGTTTTTATCGACGACCGCTGTGTTTCGACGGAGAATCCTACCTGTCCTCCTGGTTTCAACTACCAAAACAGGCGCTGCGTTTATAACCAGGACCCCGAATGTCCAGATGGATGGACTTTCAGCCTGGTTGACCATCGCTGTATCAATGCACCTCGTTGTCCCCCTGGCCAGATTGCCGAAAACGGCCAGTGTATCCTGGCGACCAACTGTCTCAGCTACGAGTTCTGTCCTGTCCCGTCAGTTGGTCTCCATTCTCATGCTCATGTCGATGGACTCTAGTACATTCTGGTGATAAGAATATACGCAAGTAATTTCTGGTATATTCAGTAGCATTCAATTCAGCGGCAGCTGCTGCGAGAGAAGACTTGGTGGAGTTGGTCCATGGAATGAATTTCGGCCCTTGCCGTTTTATCTACTTTTAACTTAGCTGAAATTGCCCAAGCAATTGACTTAAACTTCATTCGTGCGAGACTAGTCTCAATTCCAAAACCACAGGGTTCTTCTTCCTCGGCCTTGATAGTAGAGCTCTTGTGTGATACAGTTTTGATCTCCTCCGAATCTTTATCCTCTTCATCAGATGCGTATGATTCGTCATCAGTGGGTGGTGGTGCTGATATCGGCATGTCACCAAGGATTTTGATGACATTTTTATGGCGATAGGAGATAGCCAGGTCTAGAGCAGTGTATCCTATAATACCTCTACTACTTCATGGTCGGCACCGTGATGAGTAGCGCCTGTATGATGTCTGCGTGTCCCTTCTTTGCCGCGTGGTGTAATGGTGTCCGACCCTCAGAATCTGGATAGAAGATATCCATTGGACGCCTAGACAGAATGTCTAGGACAAGGGCCAGATGGCCTTGATCAGCAGCGTTATAGAGTGCGGAAGGATCCAGCCCCGCCCCAAGCCTAAGCAGCATCTGCATAACTTCTGTTGACTCTCCTATAGACGCGCTCATAGTGAACGGAGTCCCCGTCATACAGGGTTTAGAGACGTCTACATGCTGACACAAGAGCTCGACAACTGCTAGATGACCGCGACCGGCTGCACAACTAAGGGCCTCGTGGAGGGCCCATTGTCGTTCTGCCTCGTCCCACGAGTACCTAGCTGCGCTCCCCCCCGATCCTGTTATCACTGCACTTGAGCAGGAGCGAGAGCAACTGAAAGCTGGGGCGTACAGGATTCAGGGAACGAGCATCGAGGCAGAAGTTCGACGACTTACTGGTGCGATCGGTAGTGCTAGGACTAAGCGTCGAAACATCATCTCTCAGGAATTCCGGGATGAGTATTTCCGCCGCCGCCCAACAGAAGACATTGAGAGGCATAACAATGGACAGCACGATGAAGAGTACATCGAGCCAGTGGTTGAGCATCAGATCCCACAGAGGACGCAGCTAGTCGATCTTATCTGCGCTCGCGCCACAGATATCACACCGCAGAATGCTGTCAAGCGTCGCATTCAGGTCGCCGAACTCATGCTGGCTCTCTGCAAATGCCGTGAGGCTCCCTCACGATACCGTCTTCGCGTCGGCATTCCTCCAAGTACTCGTGCGGCCCAAAAGTTTCCACAGGGTCTGTGTGTAATAAGTGGGGCGTGTAAGTACTTGGAGAAAATGCATGTACAGTACATACTCTACTCGTACTATTGATCTACCCAACGAAAGTTGTTCCCCCCATTGACTGCAATACACCGCTCCAACTTGTCCTTAAACGAAGCACATAATTGTGTAGATTTCCCATCCATTTTTTTCCCCCATTCTTCCTCAAGAAATACCCGTGCATGAGCTCTCTCAAACTTCCCTCCGTTTAATGGTGTATAGCCGTCAACCTGATCCTTGAGATAATCAAAGGCATTTTCAATAGGGTGCAAATTGGGAGAGTTTGGAGGCCAAAATTACACTCTATAGATTCCCTCCTTCTTCATATAATCTTACAAATCGGTGAGCCTTCAAATGAAGACTTACATTATCATCCACAAACCATACTCGTTTTGTAGGATGTAAAGCCTTTACTTTTCGAAAGTAGGGGAAGAGAAGAGGAATAAGAACCATCTCTCGATATAGAAACCAATCAATCCTGCCCTTTGAAACTTCTTGCCCTTCTGATTGCCGTCCTCTACTCCATGTCTCTATATCTCCAAACTCTTGTGAAGCAACTTGTGCCTTTTTCCATTTGCTTTTGCCATTCCGAATATCTGCATTTAGAGTTTCCATATATCCGTACTCAAGAGTTCCAACTGTTGTTGCTCTAACAAGTTCATTCTCTGCTTTTGATTTCCAATATGCATTTATCTCTCGTAGTTTCTGCACATGTATCTGCTTCTCTTCTATACTTTCAGGAATTCATGAACGAGAAGGGTGTAAGATAGAGGTTTCTGAACTCATTGTTCCCCAAAACATAACTTGAAATAAAGATTATTCTGTTGAATTGCCATGCTCTCTGCTGTTTGACCCCGTGAACTGTTATCCGTCGTTTCTTATGTGGATTGATATATGATTCGTCTGAGAAAATTAAAATTGATCCAGCTTCAAGTTCGGATAGTGCCCATTTGCAGAATTTCCATCGTACTGAAGGAATGATATTATCCAAGTAGGGCTTGAGGCAGATGTTTTTCCATACAATAGGTTGTGGAATTTCAACACTTGGTGATTCTGCAACTCGTTCGACAATTGATCGTGCGTAGGGTAGATTTTCCTTATTAATAACTTGTTGAAAAGTGTCAAATGGGTTTGCAAGTAGCAAAGATCATATGCGTAGTGACTCTTCAGAATCCTTTTAAATTGTCTGTGGTCTTCCGCTTCGTGGCTTTGATTCGAGGTGTTGGAGAAGGTTGTGAATTTTAGTATTCCCTGCCCTTTTAACAGTTTGGTGCCATATATATGCAATACGGAGGTGTTGTTCATAAGTTTTGTGAGTGGGTCGGGCTAGGGCCCCCTGCGTAGGCTGGTTTGGCAATTCTGGCCAAAGTACCGATTCTCACGCGTCACGAACACTTGAGTGTGAGAGCAATCAATTCTGTAGAATAATGAGTAGAGTAGATACCTAAACCCCTATATAAAACTATACTATAAGCCTAGTACTCTGTGTGCATACCATTTGCAGCAATTACTGCTGCCATACGTGTAGGCATACTATTAAGGAGAGCATTAAGCTCAGCTTCTCCAACTTGCTCCCATGCTTCCTTAACAGCTACACGGAGCTGGTCGTAGGACATATGTTCTGGATGATTATCTTGTAGATAATTCTTCATAATATGCCACACCCGTTCAATTGGGTTGAGATCTGGTGAATACGGGGGCCATTCTATAGGGCAAATACCACGGGATCTCAACTCTTCATATGTTGCACCTGCTCTATGACCTGGAGCTCCATCTTGCATCAATGTAAGGCCTGGGTATAGGCGTAGCCAGCCGTGGATTAGAGGGACAGTATGAGCCATATAGGACTCAGCTCCTATTTTCCCATATTCCTTCTCCCAAAATAGTATAGGACCCTTTCCAAGACCACCTGAGAAGCAGCCCCAGAACATCCAACCTCTAGGGATTGTTAGTAAATCCTATAGTAAATAGGAGTCTCTTACCTTCTCCGTTGTACTCTATCTACAACACATGTATCATCCCACATTTCCCCTGCTTTTCGAGTAACCCATGTACGAGTATGGCGGCCTCCCGTTACCCACGTCTCGTCAGTCCAAAGTATCCTATTCCAATCATTCCGTACCCAATCCTTATGTTCAATAGCCCATGAAAGTCGCTTTTGTGATTTGTCTCTGAGATAATAGGCTTCCGCATAGCAATCCCTTAATAATTATTAGTCTATATAGTAGTAAAGTAGAGAGGGATACTTACGTCGATTATAGCCTCTCACAGACAGAGCGCGGGTTAGGACAAGCCGTGAGCATGGAATATTAAGAATGCGTATTATATTTGTATATGGCATATGCCTATTCGTGCGAGACGAGGCTATAAACTCAATAACCTCTTGAACTTGCTCATCGGATAGGATAAGTGGCCTACCCGAACGCTTCTTCGGGGTTGGAGGGCCCTGGCAAGCATACCAAGCCTGCCGTTCCGTGCAGCCAATATAGGCTGCAATTTTTTGGAACTCCCAATCTAGGGAGCGTAGTAGTGCGCAACGAAGCCACTCATCGCGAGTAAGATGAGGCATTGTAGTTATTGAAAGAGTATGAATTTCCTACATATAAAATACAATAGTAGGAATTTTGACGCGTTAAAAAGGTACAAACAAGCCTACGCGTACCCATGCTCCAACCCATGCCCAACCCCCGGTCATCTCATGACCCACTCACAAAACTTATGAACAACACCTCCGTAGAGTCAGCTGAGATTCCAAGCTTCTTTTCAATTTCTCCATATGATGCGTTCATGTATACACGCAAGGTAATAATTGCAGCACGTAGTGGTATTGAGATTTCAGCCATTGTTGAGCATTACTTCATTGCTTCATTCACTCTCATATTCTACACGTGTACATTTTCTACGCGTGTACTCGGGTACAAGTACATGGTGCTTGGTAGATTCCTACAATCTAATTGGCTGTTGTGCACAGACCCTGTGGAAACTTTTGGGCCACACAAGTATCGTCAAAGAAGAGTCCCCTGAGCCCGGGCCCCTCAGTTCCCTTTTCCCCCTTGAATGCAGCTAGTGTGCGTCATGGGGGACCGTCGGTTCGGAACTGTCGGTTCTGAAGATTTTCAGACCAGACCGGTGTGGTCCCCCAACGGTTCCTTGGCAACCCAACACGTGCAATATGGCACGTGCGCCAGTATATTAAAATCTACAATAGCTTCACAGACAGATTATTTAGTGTGGTAAAAGACTTCATTTGGTATCTAACTCCCCCAGTACTAGTTTCTCCCTTCCTCTCTCAAAGTAGCTACCCTGGGAACCGGTACCCTGTCATGTGGAGTCTCATCAACTGCACCAGTTTCATGTCCTTCTGCTGGATAGTGACACGCTTTGCGTGGATTGCAGCCAGCTGGGTCACTGTAATGATTGATTACTATAATGATTACTGTAAAATGGAGGTTTACTTACTCTCGAATTCCTTGACTAAAGTGGTCTCGGCTGCTTCTTGCAGTGCAGAAACTGCGCTTGCTTGGATTCGATACGGTGAATTGAGGTCAACCATTATCTCTTAATAAGTCGAACGAATGGCGCACGCGGAATGAGGGGCTCTGTTGTTTTCTGATACTGCTTGATCTGTCGGAGAGCAACGACTAATTGAGGTCAGTAAGAGCTTTATAGTAATAATTATAGTAATCAACCTACCTCCTGGCTTGAAACGACGCTTCGGCTTCAGAACAGTCTTCCCACCAGTCTTCCCACCAACTGGTGCCTTCCTCAGGGCTTTCCTGGCAGTAGTCGCGCGAGCTTGCTTCTGGCAAGCCATGCTGGATAGCTTGGGTACTTTCTGACTCAGTACTTGGCCTGGTGCAAGTGTTGGGATTGGGCCTCGGGGAGCCTTGGGCTGGGTTGCTAGAGGGGACAGAAGTTGTTGTTGACGTTGGCTAGAGCGTAGGAACTTTGGACCTATGTGTGGGGCCCTAATACCATCTTCAGTTTCAGAATCTGAACTTGAAGTCACAGGGTCTGCGTCGTCGTAGGGCTCATCGTCCATGGTACCCTGAAGAGGTGTTATATAAGTATTACTATAATATAAGAGGATAGAGCAGTTCACTTACCAGTCTGCTTGTTAGTAGCCTGTCATATAATAACAGAAGGGTTGAGGGAGGTTCAAAAACAAATTTGGGTGGGTGTTGAGCTCTAGGTGAATAGCTGGCTCGCTTAGCGAAATGTCTTGAGCTTCACTTTTTGTGTGGTAGTAGGCATAATAAGTGAATTCTCCCACAACAACAATAGTAAGGGACCCCATTGACGCGTTTTACCACACAATAACCTTATTCTTCAACCCTCTTCTTCAACCTTCTCCTTCAACCTTCTCCTTCAACCTTCTCCTTCAACCTTCTTCTTCAACACCACCATCCCTACCGCCACCTCCTTCCTTCTTCAATACAACAGTCAACCAGCTCTACTAAGGTAAGTCTACCCATCCTCTCTGTTTACTTTATAGTAATCATTATAGTAACCACAGCATGCCATAATGGTCAGGAAATGAAAGGCTGACGGGGAGAAGTCCAACAACCTGTTTACAAAGCGAGTTCAGACACGGCGTGATGGGATGACGGAAACCGATCTGAAGGTCGATAATGCAAAGAGAGCTGATGCCGCAGCGGTTTCATATGCTGTGCGAACTCTTCGGAAGACTGAAGCATTCAAGAATATCACCAAGGAAGCCCAAGAACAGCGAATTGAGGCCAAGAAGGCCAAAGTGAACCTCAAACGGTAAGAGTTCCTACACTCTTTATAGTAATAAGTATAGTAACCCAGATCTAGCACGCGCAATGGAACCCATGCGACCGTTATCCAACAACAACTTGGGATTGGGGAAGGAGGTGGAGCATATGCTCTCTGAGATGACAATAATGCAGCTTGGGAAACTGAGGGTGAGGATGATGAAGCCATTCAAGAGGCCATGTGGAGGGAGGATGAGAAGGCAAATGGAGTCAACGATATTGAGATGGAGAAAGTACAACAGAAGATTGAGGCACAGGCGGATGGAACAGCTCAGGTATGGACAAGAACTCTACCCTTGGGAACTCCACTAATATAATCCAGAGAGTGGATCAATTGGGATTTTCGATTTGGCGCCGCAAATGGAGAACTGCCTACCGGTCTACTCTGCAGCTTATGAAGCAGATTGGTTGTGACCCAGATTTTCTGAAGAAGCTGCCTCCAGCTATTGATCCATCTACCAGGTGAGTGATTATAGTAATACTTATAGTAATCAGCTAACATGTATAGCACCTACTACAACACACTCCCACCACACCTTTTTTTCACCAAGACGGAAATAGCTGTATGGAGGAATTTCACCACATGGAATCTGGATGGGGACACTGCCAATCTTCCAGGCCCTAGGGACTGGTATCCAGATGGATACAATGCTTCTCAACACGGTTTTGATTTGGATACTGATGCTCAAGGTGCTTATAGAGCGTGGCAGATGTTGGGTGAGAAAGTTGAGCCAGCTGATTTCAAGTGGATTTTGCCGTCTGACAAGAAGTTGACACTGTTACCTCCTACAAAGGAATCCGAGGAACTTCTTGCTAAATTTTACAATATGTAGATCTGGTGCTACTTCTAGAATAGTCTAGGTAGCTCAATCCATTACTTCTGACACTATAGTTCCCTAGCTTACTATAAATATTACTATAATTGGCTCTTATTCTTAAAGGCCCATATTACTGAAACCTACTATTAAAATATACTCCACAAGCAATATAAAATTTTCTAAAGAGGTAAATTCAAGTGAATAGAGAGGTACGTATAAAATAGATATATTCCTTGAGAAATATTCAGTTATTTTATTTTCTTTGAAATAATGTAATTGTGATATATTCAAATATCATGTCTTATAACCGATCTTTAAGTTCACCAATACATACACATATCTATAGTGACGTATTTTCTCTCAATGATCCTCAATCAAGCAACAGAACACCTGAGATTGAGTCCTCTCAACCACCTAACAACCAATGGGATAGTTTAATAACGATCCAAGGTCTTAATGTGCTAAAGTGGATGCCTTAAAAAGCAGAACTATTCAATGACTGGTGGCATCATCAGTCCTGGTATAAAGAGCAACCAAATCTATTCCTAAGTACTGATAAGCAAATTAATTGGGGGTCAACAACTCGGACTTCTAATGTGTGGAGAGACTACGACCAAGGTGCTCGGAAATCAACTGGAGAGCCAATTGTTGTTTGCCGAAAATGGTCCAGAATACTCAGTCACCCAAGTGTGAAGGGTGCAGGGACAAGCACAATGAGCAGTGTTGCCAGTAGTATATTGGTTCTTGGCAGTATATTGCAATATATATCGCAATACGGGTCTTGGCAATATAAACAATATGCTTGGCAATATGATATGGCCTTCCTTCATTCCTTGGCAATATGATATGCCCCACATTATATTGCCAATATAAACAATATAAACAATATCGCTTATTATAATACACGTGATGATAATGATGTTAAATATAGCTATGAAGCTAGTAGATAAGTGCCGTTGAAAACTCTGCACGCGTAGTACTATTACTATTATATAGTAGTACTATGGCTTCAACAAATGCAGATTCTAGTAATTTATCTTCTCTTAATACTAGCAGCTTCCAAGACAATGCCGATGTTTTCCAGTTACAGTCCTCACAACTAGATCTTGATAGTACTATAGTACCTTCAATTTCATCAACAACCCAACGAGTACGAACCTCATGGGTTTGGCAACACAATAAAAGCCCTTCATTAATAGAGGATGCTAACAAGTGCATTTGGCAATGCTTATATTGTACTAAACAATACAAAGGGTCAGGTGGTACAGCTGCTCCAGCAAAGCACTTGACAGATTTACACCAAGTGACAGATACTTCAAAGGAGTTACGAGTTAAGAACATGCAGATGAACATGAACGATAGCTCTAGAAGCTTCTGCAACCCTCTATGATTCATTATACATTATCGCTCCTTAGTTACCCACAAGATTGGTTAAGTTATGACATAATCTGTTGATAGGGGTACTCTGACCTTGGACCTCATTTTCACTTCTATAGGCTAGGAACCTAGGAGATGGTTCTATGGGATTCTCTTACGTTCACTACATGATTAGCAAGCTAGTTGTGGGTCGCACTTGATTTCTAATACAGTTGCCTGGTTAGTCATGGAAAGTCTTGGAAAATGAGAGAACTACACTCCTTTAGCATAAATAGGATTGCCCTTTCCTTAAGAAAGGGCAAGAGACAATACAGAAAATCGACTAGCACATACTTCTACGTCTTTTCTAAGCTTTCAAGCATTGATCTTGTTATTCTTTGTTTCTGAAAAGTCAGTGAGGTGCTAACCTCTGACTTACCCCTGAGTTCTCAGACTCAACATTTGTTACAACTTGTCTAAACCACTTCACTACATCACACACCTGATTGCTGCATTGTGTAATAGTCTAAGCTACAACCCTTTGGCTCTGTTTCCTAAGACAGTGTGTTGTTTTAGTAAAATCATCCCTTCCTTGGGTGGCTAGATTCTCACATCTGGTGCACCCACCATTACAGGGGTCTTAGGGGCAATGCTGCTCTTAGCCTCCTCGTCCTCTTGCTAGCAGGCACGAGAAGCAGCTCTTAAGAGCTGCTTCTTGTCTGTCTAGAGCGCAAGAGAGGCCTGCTACTAGGCTGCTGATGTAGTTGTCTCTGCATCAGCAGTGCCCTACGCCTCTTGCCAAGCTTGCTTGACCTCCTCTTGAGCATCAAGCATGGTGATCTAGGTGTCTAGAGCATCTGTCATAGATGACTAGGCGTCTTGCTCACTGCTATCAAGCTTGGCGATATACGCCCTATGCTCGCGGACAAGCTTAGCTACAGCCTAGCTAAGCATTTGGTGCTCTTTGCCTTGGTCTGCTGTTACGATTATAGCTCACAGCTTATTACGGTTATTACAGGTGCAGCCTTAGCCACCAAGGCTATAACCGCTAAGCGGATGTAAGGATGCCTCCTTACCTAGATACTCGAAGAACCTGCATCAGAGCTGTTACGGTCACTACAAGCATGAAATCCGACTCGGTGTGGTTTCGAACCAGTAGAGGAGCACATAGCGAGTTACACTATAGTGGGGGACTGAAAGGGTGTAGGGTTCAGGGTCGATGCAGACCTGTTGCAGTGGAAGGTTCAGGGCTAGGGTTGGGATAACCGAGTCGGGCCCATTTCGGGTACTTAAGGAAACAGACTCAACGGGGTTCCCCCTTCATCTTTTTTGTATCCTTCGTAGTAGACCTATAGGATAGCATCCATTTAGCCTCCGACTCGCACTCTCATATGCTATTACTGTGAGCTGGGTGCCCTGTGTCCTTACAGCGGACAACTGTATATTACGAGGAATAGCCTCACCTTCCTTTCTTCTTCTTCTTCTTCTCTCTTTAGATTTAATCTAGCTTACTTTTCCCGGCTGGCATCATGACCTCCATGACCATCGTAACATCCGCTTCCAAAACGCTCAGTTAGACTAGTGGCCATATGCAGCCTGCTGCTCGACGTAGAGCCACATGACAAAGAGCATGTCCTTAGTGGTCATATGGTTTTGACCGCCATGGGTGATGCTAGGGGCAGTGCTAGTAGCACCATTGTCGTCATTGTCGTCCTCCTAGGTAGGGGCTGGCTAGGCCCTTTAGGGGAGAGGGGAAATCTATAGATGGGATGGGCAAGTAGTGGGGGGGTTCCTCTAAGGGCTAGGGCAGGCTAAGCCAGTCAAGGCCAGGGCTAGGGCTCTGAATAGACTCTCTTTTTGGTTGTTTAGAGAGTTGGCTTGCTATCCGCAGAGCAAGCCAGGCCATTTGCTAGATGCTGTGAGGGTTAGCTTCTATAGTTATTATAGTAATATACAGTATTCACCTATTTCAAGCATAGGATGTTGTTCAAATTGTTGATTATGGCTAACTACATACGATACACTACTAATTTACTAGGCCAGAAATGGCTCTGTTACAGTGTGACAGTCCCCTTTCCTATTTGGGCACA